TCTCATCATCTTTATCATCTTTTTTTGTATTCCTCAGAATGGTTTCTGCTCGGGTTTGAACGTCTAATAACAACTTATACCAAATTTTTAAATGTTGAAGTTGATTTAACCATTCGATTTGGGTAGTCAATGTGTTTGTGAAAGTTTTTGATCTAGGGTTTTGAAGGTGATCTATAAAATCGTCTTCTGATTTGAGGTAGGATTCATGGGTTTCTTCGTTTTTCGTTTTTAGGTTTTGAAGAGATTGTTTACTTGCATCGATCAACTTGACCAAATCCGATCGAGAGTTCGAAAACTGTAGTAATCATCGAATCAGTGGACTATCTATAAAATGGCTTAGTAAGATAGGATGATAACTTAACTTGTTCATGAACTGAATCGAATTCGATCTGAAGCTGGTTTTGATAATTTGTCAAGTTGGACAGGATTGAATGGAGTTCATTGACGCTTGAGTTTGAAGTGGAAGTGGATTTGTTCGGTCGAACGTTTTGATGAACTTGTTCGAATGGATCGCTCGTTGACTTGGTTGGTTTGTTTTTTAAGTAATGTATAATTTGATTTAGTTCCTTATCGTTTGATATGCTTTGTTGTTGTTGTTGTTCTTGTTGAGTGTTCTTGCTCATTTCTTTCTTTTGTCTTTGCAATCTGAACTGAAAAGTGAGATTGCGTTTTGGATGACTTCATCTTTCGAAACTTCTCAACCTTGGCCCCGACTTAATTCGGATCTAGCTCTGGCCCCGTATACTCACTCTCACGGGTAAAAACCACGCCAATTTCTCAATTTCTGAGTCCGTGTCGCATCATGATATGTATAAATATCCTCTTGGTCATCCTGGAGTAACTCTTGAACCCAAAAGGCCTGTTCTTCGAGGGAACATAGTTTATGGCAAAAGAAACTCAAGCGTCATAGTCAAGTCCTTGATCAAAAATTGTAAAGATGACATGGACCATTGCAAGAAGCAAATTTCTCTGACTATTGGACATTATCATGGTTGGGGCCAGAGATTTAATGAATTTCTCTCAGTGTTCAACAGAAGACTGATATGATCAAGACTTGGATCTGTTGGGTGACAAGATGAATTAAACTAAAAATCTCAGGTAATTTGTTGATGATAGCCACCCAGCCTGTATTCCGCACAGACTAGAAGGATGGTAATAATGCTGAATCATATTGAATTGAAAAGGTGAAGTGTCCGTGTTCTGGGTACTATAACATGAAGGTGCGCCGAGTGACATGGCACATACAAGGTATCAGTTTATAAGAGAAAGACAAGACATATTGCAGTAAAGTGGAGACAATGAAAGAAAAACACAGTGATGGGAAAGTGTATGTATGTCTTAGAGTAAACCACCAGCACCAACAAGACCATGAGCACTGAAGAGAGCTGTGACATCTAGACTCAAGAGAACATGAATGTTGATACCAACAGCTGAAAAGAGGTTGAGATCAATACCAATGCTGGCTAACAAGCTAGAAACATCAATGTGTAGAGACACAAGAATTCCTGTAACAATCCGGAGACAGGAGTAGAGGATGTTGAAGTCCGCTGATGGAGGGGACACAAACTACATCAGTACCAAGTAAGAGGAGCGCGATGGGGCTAATCACTGACGTTGACATTGGGGGATATAGCTACTGTAGCTCTGGGTGATGATTGCGATCATGGTTTGGAATTGCTGGAAGACTGGTGTGATGGCTGATGTGAACTGTTTGATGAGATGAAACGGATATAAATTGGTCAGTTCAACTTTAACACTACATGCAAAAAGAAAGAGTTCAAACTGACTTGGTAGGCATTTGATGTTTGGCATACATTACATCCACCAGCATTGGAAAATTGAGTGACCATAGCTTGAAATTGAATAACCATGGTATGAATCTCATAGGATATTTGTTGGAATTGAATTCCACCTGATCCCCATTGAGAGAATGTGTTAGCACAAATTGTACCAAAGCTTTGAAAGCTTTGGGTGACTTGTGTAAAGCTGGTATACTGCTGCTTTCCAAATACGTAGCCACCTCCCCAGGTAGCTTGACCGACTGGGGCTAATCCTTGAGAAGAGCCACAACCTGCGAAGCACTTTTCCTCTACAGCACTTTTCACTTTACTGTTCGATTTAAAGAAAACAATTAGCCACACAATTCTACAAAAACATAAGGAACAAAATTGTACTGACGTGTTTTGCTCGATGGGCGAAGCAGCGGCAAATGCTAAGCGAGAGAATAAAGAAAACAACTATCAAAACAAAGCTAAGGATGTGATGGCATTCTAAAAAACGCAGGACTTACCAGCGAGAGTAGCAACGAAAAAGCTAAGCGTGAAATGCATGATGAGGAGATTGATTCGGTTTATTAGAAAAAGTAATTGAAGGTTGGGTGTTTTGTGTTTATATTACAAGTGAAGATATGAACAGGTATGAAGAAGTAGATGAGATGATTTGAATGAGGAACAAAGAATGCACTGAGAGGATGACCTTTTATACCCAATGAGCTTGCCTCTTCACTCACTTCAGCTCAGCGTGATTACAGATAATCCAACGCGTCCACCTCGCATTGGAAATATGGTCGGATCGGTCAAGCCGCAGGATAGTCATTAATGTCCCGATCAATATGTTTCCTGCCAGTTGGATGAATCATTTGATTTGGTTTCTATGAGAAGCTTTTCCAAACTTCACTCAATTGATTTTAAAAGGTATGGCATCTGGTTTGGCGCAATGGAGTTTGGGAAAACTAAAGTATATACTATATACCATTTGGTCCCAAGGTAAATACTTTTGGAGATAAGCAGATGGTATGCTCACAGGTAGTTTCATCACATTAGGCAAAGCGAGTAGGGTTTTGTTTCAGCTTTTGAAGCTTTCCCAAAAGGTTCCAATGGCCACCCCAATGCCAGCGGGTCATCACAGAAGGGGCATAAGTTGTCATTTTTGTGGTATCAGACAGACTTTGGTCAAAGCTGCGGGCGTCTGGATTACTGAGGTTCAGCTTCAATAGGCGCAGCTTGAGAATCATTAACATGTGGAGCTTTTACGCTTGGTTGTATAAATCTGCATGTTGAGATCCAACTAAGACTTGCTGAGGTGGTGGTGATTGTGGAACCTGGCCAGCACCTGTTACTTCCACCTGAGTAGGACAATGATTGGCACAGTGTCCTGGCTGCTTGCAAGTACTGCATTTGTATGTAAGCTTGGGCTTGGTAGGTGTAGCTTGAGTAGTAGCTTAAGTTGTCTGTTGCAAGCTGTTAGAATGTTGGGTAGCTTGAGTGTGCTGGGTCTGAGAAACTTGAATTGACTGAGAATGGCTTTGACTTTTTCAAGACTTGGACACTTTTTGATTTGGACAAACTGGTAAATGAAAAGAGTGTGGAATTGTTTGGGAAAATGTTAATTTAGAAGCTGGTTGAGAAATCAACAAGACCCTGTATGGGTGTGCATCCACATAGCCAGACATCCCTTTTTCAATAGAGGGCATTCCAGATATCTTGAACCAATGGTTCTGATCCTGGTGCAAAATTTATGAGTCCTTGTATCTGCCCAACACAGCATCCAGCTGCAGATGAGAGCTCAATTTGATGTAGTACTGCAGCCAGAAATTGTTGGTTCTCAGAGAAGTTTTTTGGTTGATTGAAAGGTGGGTGGTTGTGTTGATGTTTGGCAGGGTTCTTTAAGTCTTGCTATACTACACATTAATATTTATGTGAGTGATAATTGTGTTAGATTTCAAATGCACATCCCGTCATCTTTGTAGAACTGGCACAAACAGTTGCTGCAGAGCTTACTGGCCTGCCAAGTGAGCACCTCACTTTTTGATGATGTTCCATTTTATGACTTTTAATAGACATTCCATAACCTTGGTGCCATGCAACCTGTCAGCCATGAGGATATTTTGTCATACTCCAATTGGCCTTCAACATCAGTATATGCATTAGCTTGAAAGTATCAATGCAAGAATGATACTCATCTTGCAATTGAGGGGTGAAACAAACCAAAGATCAGATTGATCTTGGGGAGAACACAGCTAAGGGCAAAAGCAAGAAGACCCGTACCTCAAAGAAGGATAGAGATTTAATTTGTCATAGTCACATTCCAAGAATGCAAGTAGAAGATTAGAAGACATTAATGTTCTGTGGGTTAAAACAGGACCCTTATGAGTGCATGCAAGAAACCCTGATGTTCTAGATTGCAAAAAAAACCACACATTGATATATAAGCAATCACATCTACTACCCAGAGAGATGGCTCATCTTATTATTATACCATACCAATCTTACCGCAGCTCATATTTGAATTGGCATTGTATATCAGAATCTGTTTTCTTTTCTTTCATTTGAAAGAAGACTTATTTAGAATTCTTATTGTTCAGAATCCTTTATTGCATCTTCTTTCATATCAAGGAAACCCTTTTTTACTCAAGTGACTATCTCTTTATCAATTAATGGTTTCCTTAATATTGAATTGATATTTGAAATAGTATCTTGTATTGCTTTTGATGTTAAATCTATTAAACTAACACTAAAGTGACACCAAATAATAACTACAAATCCCTTTGTATTCACCTTGGAAGGCTATCAAGTAACTTGTACTCTGATAAGCTTCTGGCAGCGGTCACAGTGCCCGTGAAGGGCGCCCCCAACGTCAGAGGCCTTCAAGAGTACAAAGGCAAACCTTTGTACTTGCTGGAGCCCCCAACGTTGGGGGCCCTCTCCACGGGCACTGTGGGTACACATCCCGCACCTAAGACAACTATATGTAACAACTATAGTTCCTTTTCACCTATTCACAAATAACTTGAAAAAGAACGTCTGCAAGATCAATCAATAGTTGAACTAAAAAGCTTCAAAGCACACATTTTGTGAGTACAATTCAGCTCTGGTCACCCAACTTACCATCTCTTTAGAGACCCCGGCTGACACAACCATATTCATGTACATTACGTGCCATGGCAACAAATTCCTTTCCAAATACTGGTGATTTCATTAGTTGGACCAGTTCAACACCTATTAATCCAGTAAGCAAACAAAACAGATAAACAATGAGAAAAAAAGAATCATCATAAAGTGAACAATAGTAAAACTGAGCCAACCAATAGTAGGCCAATTGGCACCTTGTGTGGCTTGGACTTCACCAAGTACTTCATATTCTGCTGCATCAAACTCATCTACAATGTCTCAAGTGACTATTTTGACTATGCTGGGAACAGGCTTACCTGGAGTGTCTGTCAAGGTGACAGATGGCAAAATCAAGGCAGTTGTGGAGGGTTCTGTATATGGATTTGGATTACTAGCAGTATCAAAGTGGAAGGCTTGCAAGTGAATTAAGTGGGAGTTGCTTGGTGGTGGTGGCATACTTGGTGGCAACATATATCCAGGGTGGCTCAGGCTAAAGTGGTATGGTGGTTTCGGTGCAACAGGTGGCTGAAACATGTAAGGAGATTGCCAATACCCTGGCATGTCCTTTGGAAACATGTTGTTCATCAGAATTCCATGGGACCAGTATGGATTGGAGTAGGGGTTAAAGTATGGGTGGGGAAGTGGTTACATCATCATGTAAGGATGTATGTCCAGATTGTTGTGATGAGGCATTTGGCCGTAAACCTGGTGGAGGTGGTACTGCCAAAGTTTTTGAGGGCAACAACACTGCCATGTGTGAAAGGCGTGATAATATGATTTGTTGGTCAAAGTTAATGTAAACAAAAATGGCTTGGTGATTGGAGGTAACACATACAAAGGAGAATAGCTGGGAATAATAGCAAGAGCTTCAGTTAGTAGTGGTTGAATCTTTGAAGGAACAGAAGATAGAGAAATAGAGAGAAGAGATGAATCAGTGAAAGAAATAGCCACTTACAATCTTCAGCCAAGTCATATTGGATGGGATAGTCATTTTTGACCCTTGCAAAAGAGTAATTGTTAGGCACCAGCAAGGAAGCACATTTGGAGAACTCCAAGAAGTGGAGGAGTTGAAAGGATAAAACTGCCTGCTGAAGCACAATCCCATATAACATAAGCCCAGTTTGTGATGTCTAGCAGCCCAAATCAATGAGTGAAGAGTTCTGTTTTCAGAACAGGGGCTATGGAACTATATAGTTCCCAGATTGAGCCTGCGGACCACTTTAGCCAGATTTGGCAAAGTAGGGCTGGGCTTGCAGATAAATCCCAGGTGAAGCACCAAAGAGAGTGGGCTTTGGGGATTATCCAAGTGATTGCAAAATAGTATTGTCTAAATATGATAATTCTAAAAAAGCTGGATCAGTAGGAGGATATCTACCTATGTTGTAAAATTACAAAGCTAAACAACTGTCACTGGTTACTGCAGCCTTCTTTATTCCACAAAACCAGGCCATTTTTTCATACACATGACACCATACTCTGTGGCCCTAGCAGAACCATACTGCTTTGCCTCCAAAACAATACATACCCTGTCCTCTCCTCCCAACCAACCATCACCATCCTCTAAACCAATACTAAGCTTTGCCCTCCAACCACCCAGTCTTGATGAAACTGAAATAACCAGCTGCCTTTGTGCCAGGGCAACCAGCTGTCTTTGTGCCAAAGCAACCATCTGTCTTTGTGCCAAAACAACCCGCAGTCTTTGTAACAACACTCTTTAAATCCCAGCAAGACTCCCATGAACAAGAATGTGAACAATGTCCCAATGTAGAAATCTCATCCTTTCATGGTTTCTAGTGTATTCTAAATTTCCAAGCCTGTAGGTTTTTTCTTAGACTATTCCAAGCCAGGCTGTGACTCACATTCTTTTGTACCTTTCCATTTGTCAGCCCTGAGTACATATACATGTACCCAAAACTTACTTGTAACATCAAAATTATCATATATAACCTTTATTAAATATACATACAGTCTACCAACAGTATGTAACACATAATGAAATACATAAAACACTAATTACATATACATGTACACTTAAAACTACATGTAACATGTAATAAAACACCAACTACACCTCATAACTTGGTGTCAAGATTTAATATGCTTATAGTACATAACAAGTACTTGATATCACTATATGTAATTAAGTACAAAGAATAATCATAAATGATGACTGATAATCATACCTGAACCATTGTAGTGATATAAACAAAGATCACTACAGTTAGGTTTAGAGAGGAGAGTATATAGACCCCTCCTCTCTCAACCTTTAAGAGAATCTGCCAAGCAAATATTACACTTGACTTTCAAAGATCCACTTTACAGTTATACTGAAGTATATAGTCAAAAGTCTCATAAATATAACACTAGTGATTTACTTCTTTACTTTAAAGAGTTTCCTGACTAAGAGTAAGTAATATACCTTCCTCCTTGATCCTCTACTTCCCCCAAGTAGAAACAAATTGGTTGGTGACCTTAAGAAGAACTTTCAGGTTGGTGACCATAAGAACAACCAGTTTGGTGATCTCTACTTCACCCTTAACTCTGTCAATTTGAAGCTAAAGGAAGGCCTTGGATCCAACCTTCAAACCTTACTTATAATACTCATAATCATGATTATAATTCCAATCTCCTTTTCAGGAGTCAACTAACTGTAGTCTGTCTTGATTTATAAAAACAGACTGTTGGTCTCTTTTTTACTTTCTTACCTTTCTTTATTTCAGATTGTAAGTACTACATATTTGAAATAAAGAATTGAAATTCATTACAACCTGACCTTTTGCCCAGCTTAGTGAGCCTAGTTTACTCAAAAAGAGCACACTACCCTCACACCATCAACTTCTGCCTGCAGACAACCATAATTATACATACTGTGAGACCACCATGGTCATAACGTCCTGAAATGTATGGGACACTGACAACAACACCGCAACCGCTCCACTCAAGAAAGCGCGAGTGGAGCGGTTTTGGCATCCGCTAAAACTTCCGCTACCCAGAGTGGAGCCTGCACTCCGCACTTTGTGGGTGGAAAAGTCCTGAGCGGAGCATATTGCTCCCCTCAGAGCCGGGGCTTGGGTGTCTTATAAATAGTTTTTTTGAGTCCTTTGTAGCAATGAGTGCCGCTATATAGCGTAGTGGTGTTACACTACACGCATCCAGGTGAGAAAAAAAATCAAAAATGAGTGATCAAGAGTGTTGCAAGTTATAGCGGAGCCCTCTGCTCCACACCTAAATTTAAAACAGGCTGAAATCATGTGTGGTGCGTAGTGGTTGCAGTGTTGCTGACAACAAGTGCAAGTACAATGGAGACCTCAACTATTATGTGCTGCAGCTTGACAGAAGTGCCTCTCTGACTTGACAATCATTGTTACACTGTCACAGCTAAGATGTTCCCCGTGGCTGAGTCTGCCAACTCTGCCAACTAAAAACTTCCTTCCAAGGTGGATCACACAATTATGGTTGGTACTTCTGACTCATTTTCTGGTGAACCAACCAACAACACAGCTGCTTTGGGCTTTGGCATTGTCTCAAGCTGGGCGGGAAATCCCTGAATCTGACATGGATGATGTTACACTTGCTTTTGTATGCCTCAAAAAGATCACAATCCCCAAGTCAGTTGATCCATATCTGATTACCATGACACTTTCTGACTCTTAATTTTCAGGTTAAAGACTATGTTGGATTTTACATGGAGTATTGAATAAGATCTACACAAATACTCAAATGTTCTTAAGGTATCATTCAAGAGGGAAATTAAACACTGGTACATGGCTTCATTGTTGATTGGGACAAGGAAGTCGACCAATAGATTGTACAGGTATGTCACTATATATTAGTCATTGGCAAATCTACCCTTGGCTAACACTCCTAGATCATTTAAGGTTATGAGCTTGAACATTACTGGTGGACATCCAACCACAGGACACCGGTATGCTCCGAGTCCTATAAGGGGTAGTGACTTTTCAGCTCCCGCGGAAACCAGATGGGGCCCAATAGGGGGGATTTGTCATATTGTTTTTATGACGCAATTTGCGCTTCTTGGCCACCAACAAGCAAGTTTCGAACTCATCAATACTTCCTTGTTGCAACTCAAAACATTTGGTCTTGATATATATGTTCCATAGCCGCATGATGGTATATCATCCAGTATTGTAAATCTTTGAATGCAACATCTGGGGCAACAATGAATATACAAATAAACAGCATGCCGTGCAACAATCCATGTTGTCAAATCTGTACGTGTATATGCATGCGCGCCTGTCCACCTGTTTTTTATCCGTGAAGTTTGTATATGTGCAACGTACGTTTTGATCACATTGATCATCAATCATGTTCTGGATAGCAATACAAAAGACTCAGGTTTTTCTGAAGTTTGCAAAGAAGAAGAAGTAATGGAACTTCGGCGTAAAAAAATACATTGGATGACATAACTTCATATTCAAACAAATGTGTGCAAGAGAAAGATATCAAATGAAACCAAAGTATATCACATTTTTATCACATTTTGACAGGCTTTAGCATGTAGATCATTGACCACTTTTCGAGTGGAGGTACATCTTGGTGAATTCTCATGCCGACCAAAAATTGATCGCGAAAAGGGAAAGCGGCAAGAAGACCAAAAGTCCACACCCAGAGTCGTCCACCTCCCAATCTTTGGGGGATAAGTGGTATCACAAAAGGCTCTACCAAGATAGCTAAAGGTTGGAGCATGAAATAAATAATCGATCCGGGAACCCAAGTTGAAAGGTCTAGGTTAGGATTCACGCGCTGAGCAGTTCGAAGTGCCCCTATAAATTTAAAATAGGAAACCTTTCAGTAAACTTCAAGATTTCGTGGGTAAAGTGTTGATGATCAGACTTACCGTACTCATGGAGGAATGCCGAAGAAGCAAACACACCAAACATTCCAGCTAATCTCACAACTCGATGACTTGCTCCCAATCTCTTCACTAGCCAGGCAATGGGCAATCCACCGCTGATTAAAAACATCCTTTGTAATATTGTATGCCAACCTTTCCCCCAAAAGTGAGCGATTGAACTAGATTTATGTGGCGAATCGAAGGCCGATGGAAAATATTTTGGATCGCAAAGCTCTAGTATATCTTGAGGACAATTCAATGATATCGCTATCTTGTGAGCACATGTAGCCAAAAGGGTGAGAGAGTTAAACATATTATCTACTGAGCATGCGACCCATATACCGAAGCAAGCGGTGTAAAGAGTCTCTGACAAGAGGTTTAAACCAGGAAAGTTCGGAACACCCAATGACAGGAGAGCTGATTTGGGAGTACCAAGGCTGGCGTCGCGAGTCAGGACGAGAAAACTGAGGGCGATGGAAAGACATGTGTTGACTCGAAACATCCTCCACAGCAGCTCAAAAGTGCTTTGGTTGTTCGCAGCAATAGCAGGACCGTACGTGAACTGAAGGCCTCGGAAGCTGTGTGTGCACAAGTGTTCAGACTATCAGCGCTTAAAGACACGTTATGACGTGTGGTGATAAGCTTACGAAGTAACTTGTAATAATGTCCAGCTCGCCAATTTAAACACGTTGCAGGGTTCAGCTTCTTGCAACTTTTTATAAGCTTCGTCACTTCCCTTGACTTTTTCCCATCGTTCCACACCATTTACTTGCACTAGGCTCCTCGTATAATAAGAGCCTTTTGCAAAACCCCACTCTAATGACTTGATAGCCATGAACCACATAAATGACATTGTAAACATATCTTTCAACATATCAGAGGGTTCGGCAGGTCTGGAAATGCATTGAAAACTTAAACTAAGCATGGTAAAGAAGTTAATTGGTGTCAGACTGATCCGTATCATACGAGACAAGCGGGAATGAGCAAAAGACGGATGAAGTAAAGCGCATTGAAAACAAAGTAAAGTAAATGCTATCAATGGTGATGACACCTTGACCTTGGCCACCGCCGAAATAATATGTGTGGCTACGAGACGCTCTTGAGAGAGACTGATTGTGATATTTCTAGGGTTGAAAGCGGATGTCATGGATGAAAGCATTTCAAGAGGTAGAAGAAATTTTTCGCTCGAAGGCGGAAGAGTGACGAGGAGATACAAAAGCAAAACCCTGAGTGGCGGTATACATATATAGGAGAACGGTGATACCACGCAGTTATCCTGAGAGTCAGACGCGAATTTGGTCAAAAGTATACCCACGTGTTGAATCTTGAAGCAAATAAAAGTTATGCAAGCTGATTTGAAGCAATAACATGCGTCCAAACTGAATAGCTCTCTTACAATATTGCTGTCGCATCATGATATGATCCTGATCGACCGGATTTCACGAGAGAGCTCGTTTCTTCTCCAAGAGGGGACGTGATTGAGTTAACAATATGAGCTTGTCCGGCCGGTTCTGCGAGCGGAGATGAACCTAAGCCTAAGATGGAAGCAATGTTGCGCGAGACCATCAACTTCTTATCGTAGTCAATCCTAGATATCTGTGATGTCAATCATCTGACCGGAGTTGATACGCGCTTCGAAGTTTCCCGAATGCCTAAAGTCATAACGATGTTGCTCGCGCACAGGTACATACTTATATCACCGTTTATCAAGGTGTCGATCAATACATATCCAAGAGAGATCCTCTACAAAATTGCCGATATGGCTAGTAACTGGTTATCATAATGGCGTCAGTACTAGTAGTCCGAAAGCGTGAAGGCAAACTGCAAAGTGTAAGTAACGGAAAATGTTGCAAGATCGCGTTAAACTTATAGTGACTTCCTGCCATCATGTAAATAGCTTCCAACACGATCTGTGATCATCAGTTTCAAGTATTTCATCAAATCTTTCTATTGTATATGCACATCACTTCCAATCACATCACCATATGGATAGCGTAACTTGTCTTGACTTCATCTTCTTTCGTAACTCTTGGAATTTGATCTACACTCTAATCTCCGCATCACAATGTAAATGAAAAACATCTTGAAACTTCGATACATTATATCGTTCTTTCAGTGCAAACATACCAAAAAAGATGTACAATTTCCTATTAGTTTTCCGGAGGAGGCACGACAAAGGTGGGCGGTGTCCACGATTACGAGTAATGCTGTTGGGAAAAATACCTCGTAATATAATCTAATATTAATAATCCAATTTGTGATTGAGATCATTACCGCCTAGACCATCTTTAAGGAAGGGTCTAGACTAATCGAAAGACTATTGAACTAGATCAGATATGCCTTGGTCGGTTCAATATCTTTTTAATTTTAGTAAGAAAATAAGACAGATTATATAATGAGGAAAGATGATAGAATATCTGATTCTAATCATCCGTTTTTCATTTTTACCAAAAATTCCATTATCGTATATTCTTGAAAGAAATTCTTACCAAGATTATTCTCAACCACCTTTGTTATACAAAGACATTTATCTTGTTAGAACTTCTTCTAATTCCAAATTAACTCATTTAAATATTATAAAAGTCGCTAGACGATACCTTTTATAACACTTACGGAATAACTACTTCATCGCAAAATTTAAAACGCCCTTAGAAAATTATGTCGATTAATACGATTATGGAAGCAACAGCAACGCTCGGAGCGATGACGCCATCCAACAATGCAGCCATCTCACCAGAAGGAAGAACAAACGGTAACCAGAACAATGAAGAACGATCATCCGGATCCCAGTTATCCTCGACCACGTCCTCGGGCGCTTTTGGAAAATATAATAAGCAAATGTTAATATCTAATTACCTCAATAGAGGGAAAGGTAAGCAATGTTTTGCTTAACCACAGATAACCCAATCAGTATACATCTTGTTAGATGTCTCAGCTGAGGAAGACAAAAGCAACTAATGACACATTAAAAATCCCCCTATGATGTAACAGAAACGAATCCAAAAGATAAATCGGTAGATAAATCAAAGGATAAATCAAATGCAGGCGGCACTCGTAAGCCCGTCAAAAATTTCCCATGTGATACATACTCTGACAAAATTGCTTAAACATTGTACAGAATCGGCAGAAATACTTGAGCGCAACAAGAAAGACGCCGTTAGCAACAAAGATGTCAGTATCGGATACAAGCAAATACCTTCCACGACAGCTTCTAAAGATCCAGCCGACGCGAGAAAAGAAGCAAACCTTGCGTCAATGGAAGCGGAATTCTGCGCGATGTTTGGTACATCCACCAAGTTACCACAAATCCAAAAGAAGCAAAGCGACGGACCATCCGGAGAGTCATCAGCACCATTAGACGATACCTCATTCGCCGAAGCAGTGAAATTGTTGAACAAAATCAAAGCCAACAGACAAGCGACAAAAGAAACAAATGACGTAACGGATTTAACACTAGATGATGAGTCAACTAATTTATTCAACAAAACGTCAAGTTTCACTAAAAGCTTCAAATTACAAGAATCGACTTTCTCAGAAGGAGGTCTATTGTTCGATTCTAGTATAACCCCAGATGCCAACGCACAGTCATTACCCCTTTTCTTTCACAAGAATATGCAAGCGCTACAAGGGCAACTCCCCTTGACAATCTTCAACAGAGCTTGGCAACAGACAGCAAGCGACAATCACGTTGAATATAAGAAAACCGACAAAGAAATCGAAAAGTATCGAGGACACCCTTTTCCAGGAGAATGGACTCAGTCCAGGTTTGACTGGGGCGAAAACATGGACAACTTCATCGCAATGCTACGAGAAGATTACAAGTTCATTGCTTTCGCAGATGCCATGGACGTTCACAAGAAAAACGTCTACAGAATCTTCAAGCAACAAAGATCATGGGTCATCGCTTTCAAGTATGACTTAACCATCAGGAAGGCTGTGTTCGCAGTGAGAAATCCGGATCAAAAAGTCCCTAACCCAGCTTTATAGCCGTCCGGCCTGGTAAACGAAATCTTTTACACGGCTAGAGCTCAAGACGACTTGAACACAGAAGACAACCCGTATAAAAAGGGCGGCCCTAAGAATGGAAAGAACCCCTACTCCAACATTCTGACGGATTTCCCGAATCAAAGTACGAACACTAGAACAGTGCCAGGACCTTCTAGACCTTGGAATGACAAGAAAGAGAGAACGGACTTCAATAAAACGGCCCCGTACGGAAACTACAAAGGAAGAAATTTCGATCCTAATCATAAGAAGATGATGGAGAACACAAAAGGAAAAGGAAAGGATAAAGAAGCGTAGGCGTTACTCACTCGCTATCTTTGTACTTCGAATCTCATTTCTTTTTGTCACTAAGTTTGATCTGTATAGATACAAAATTAGCAAACTCGTTCTTACCTTTTTTAATTTTTTTCTCCACCATCGTTTTGTTATCTACCATGGAAATGAAATATCAAAAACCATTGGTAAATTTCTTCTACGAATATTAGAAATCGCCCAAATATGATCAATAGGCAATGTCAAGGAACATCTGCTCAGATAAGTTTGAACCTGAGTTGCCCTGTAACTTCTCCTCCTTCATCGAGCTCGTCAATAAGCGATAAAGAAGATGAAGTTATGCAATCGAATGATTTAGAATGGCCAGGTGAAGTTGCGTGTGAAATGAATATAGATGAATGGGAGAAAGCACTAAGAAACGCAAATTTATTTGAGGAGTTTAAAGATATCTTATTGGGTTTCAAGATCGGTTTCGATCAAGGAATACCACACCATTTCTTAATCGACTGCAAATGGTATACTCCTCCTAACCATTCATCATCAGATCTATCAATAGATAAGATAAAAGCAAGTATGGAAAAAGAGAAAGCGGCAAAAAGGATTTATGGCCCATTTACTCACGAAGATGTTTTTCAAAAAGTCGGATTTTTCAGGACAAACCCATTAGGAGCTGTAGTTAACGGGGATGGCTCTATTAGACCGATAAATGACTTATCATACCCAAGAAATGACCCACAAATCCCCTCAGTAAACTCATTTGTAGACGCAGACGACTTCAAGACAACTTGGGATGATTTTGCTAGAGTTTCGTCATTCTTCAGAAGATCAACAGTCCCTTTCCTCTTGGCGCTTTTCGATTGGGAGAAGGCCTACCGTCAAATCCCAACCATGCCAGAACAGCAACCTTATATGATGGTAATGGATTCGAATGGGATGATTTGGTGGGATACAAGGATCGGGTTTGGAGGCGTAGCGGGCTGTGGTTCGTTTGGAAGACCAGCGGATGCATGGAAATTCATCATGAAACACGAATTCGACGTGGTGGAAATATTCAGATGGGTTGATGACGCTTTGTTCATAAAAGAGATAAATTCAACTTTAGTGATGAAGGACGTGGTAGAAAGAAGTCTTCAATTAGGCGTCATAACCAACGAAGAAGAAATGTCGAATTTCAAAGAAGAACAGAAGTTTATAGGTTTTATATGGAACGGTGTTACGAAAACAGTGCGTCTTCCAGAAAATAAACTATGTCAAAGAAAAGAACAAATCAATGATGCTCTGAAAATAAATAAGAAATTCTCTTTTAATGACGTAGAAGTATTGACAGGAAGTTTAGTTCATGTGACTTTAATGTTACCCCAACTGAAATGTTACTTGAAATCTTTGTACCGTTGGAAGAAAAGCTGGGTACATAAATACGCAACTCAAAAATTACCCCAAGATGTGAAGATGGACCTCATGCATTGGAGGTTATTGTTATCAGATTTCAAACACACAAGATTAATTAGGTATTCAGATCCCGTAGATTTAGGTTGGGTAGGGGATGCTTCACCAAACTACGGAGTAGGAGTACTGATAGGGAAGAAATGGTTCCAAGTCAAATTAAAGAAAAACTGGGAATCATCAGGAAGAACGAAGAGGGGGATTGCGTGGTTAGAAACAGTAACCATTCGGATAGGACTATGGTATATCATATGTCATGATAATTACGAAGGAAAGTTGATTATTGTGTGGACTGACAACACAACCAGTGAAAACACAATTAAGAATAGGAGATCAAATGATTTAGAAGTGAATAGAGAATGGAGAAGGATCCAAGAACTGCTACTCTCATATAATATAGACTTGATAGCGAAAAGGGTCATATCAAAGAAGAACAACGCAGATGATATTTCGAGAGGCAAAAAAGATCACACAAAAGATGAGTCAAATCGAGTGTGGGTGGCTCTCCCATCTGACTTAACAGGTATATTCACGCAATATGTTATAGAGGGAGATGACGATGAAGTGATGAAGAAACAATTCCCAGGACTAGTTTGATTATGAGTTTCTGAGAGAGCGAAGTCCGTTTTGAAACAGATAGATAAATTTGTATTGATAGATGTATCTATATGGAAATTTGTAATAAATTATGTACGATAAGATACCATTGGTGTGCTCGATTGCTCGAGGTATTTTAGTGAATACTGTAAAGTAGACCCCTATTTGAGACCCCTATTGATAAAAATGAGATTTGAATAACAGACGACCGTTCTGGTCTGATGAAACTCCAAGTTTTAAAAATTGAGAAGAAAGTTTGAAAACTTTCTTTTTAACAAAAGTACTTAGCCACAACCATCGAAAATGGAATTTATGGAAGAAAATCTAAAACTTATATCGCAATTTTTGAGTAAAGGCGATAACAAGATATATCATGAAGACCTTCAGATGCATATCCTAGACGGATGGAAGTGGAACACTCTACTGAGCTACAACGGAGCAGTAAAGAAATTCCTGAAATTCAAGAACCAAAGCGAAAATCCAGAACCGAATTTTCCTTTATCAGCGAACGAAATCTACGAGTTCTGCGTATGGGCAGGAAGAACTAGGATGGGACCAACAAGAGAAGATATTATGTCACAAACTTTGGAGAAATATCTATACGGATTGAAGGCATGGCATTGTTATCATAAAGAAGATTTCCCAAAAATTAACGAATCAATTATAAAATTAATGTTGATTGCATCAAAGAAAATGGATACAAAGACAGTAAAGCAAGTTGAAAAGAAAGCAGTTCACTTAAAACAATTATTATTTTTAATATTGAAGTTAGTCAATGGAGGAGAGAAAGAACTAGCCATTTTAGACACGATATTATGTACATTTTGGAGTCTAGCTAGATTAGGGGAAATGACAAATGATAAGCACGATTCAACAGGGATAATAAGAAGGTCTGATGCGAAAATTTTGGTAGATGGATCAGAGGAAGAAGGGTTTATCACTCTTAGAGGAGCGAAAACCGCAAAACCAGGTGAAATCCAGATTTTACAACTTAAACGTCTAGATCATTTATTGTGTCCTGTAGCAGCCATTAAGAGGAGATTGGCAAAAACGGTCAACGACGAAGACGCTCTTTTTAGTTATATACATAACGCTAGAAGAATATCGCTATCAAAACAAACAATTATGAACGCATGCAAAAAGATTTGGGAAGAAGGAGGATTCAATGGAATAACCGGACACTCATTTAGAGTAGGAGGAGCTTCATTGAGATTCGCTTTAGGTGTTCCAATATCTGACATTTGTAGTATTGGAAGATGGAAATCAGATGCGTGGAAATTATATATAAAAACATACACTCCAGAAGAAATAAAAGAAACGAAAGAACTTTTATATGAATTGAAAAAACATAAGTTGTAAGAGTTTAACATTTGTTTTATTAAGTAAATGGGTCACACGTAATAGAGAACATGGATACTGAAAGAATTGGGGTTTCGGCTAAAGGCTCAGGCTTTCAGCTCCGAGTAGAGGTGTAATATTCCTCAACCTAAATTCTTGATTCATCCCTGAATCTTATATTTTGGTAATCCAAATTAGTGTGTTCTTAAATACCTAGATAATAATTTTATTACAAGTCTTATTAAGACATTCTTTGATTACTCTTGATCCATTATTTAGATCTAAAGAACGGTAATCAAAGGATTTAGCGTAGATAGTTCTTCAGCATAAAACAGCTGGTACGATTCTATTTAAGCTATGAGTTATTCTTAATGATCCTTCAAGTAATCGGTAAGACTTCGATTACTTGGTATGTTACTTGTATGAATTTATTATCGTTAGCATCACTTATAATCTCTTTATCAAGATTATGAGTAATGCTAAGGTTTTTAAGCAAAACCCGAACACTGACAGTCCGGGGCGTAATAGCCGGGACTGTCTAGAGGAGATATCGGTCTTTCCTTAATTATATCACCTTGAACGTGTACACCCTAAATTTGGAATTACTAAAAGAAAGTGGATTTTGATTTCACTACACAAAATATAATATTTTCTGGGAAGAAAATTAAATTATTGATACACAAAAATATTGAGAGGCCAGGAGAAGGGCAAAAAATAAATAAAAATATGCATCTTGTTCCCTGTGGTGAGAGCTTCACTCTCCATATTTTTCCATATTTTTACAGTCCGTATTGATAAGTATACTAACAATAAACCTTCATAATCATCCAATTACAACCTGTAACAAGCACTGAGATTTGGCTCATTAGTGTTTAGAGAAACTTTTGATTTCTGAAAACACCTATAACTTTGTCAAATCTGCCTCAAAACACTCGATTTTAAGTGCATTAGAAAGCTGAACTCTTTCTCTCGAACTTTCATAAGATCAAGAACTATGTAGCTAGTATGACAATCATTCTATGGATCTGTATGTACAAATGTATAAAAAAAATAATATCTTTTTTAGCAGACCAGCATGCTGTGTGGTCCTATTATGAACTATTTGGAGGACAATTCCAGCTTACCAATGCACCCAAAATTGAGCGTTTTGGACCGGAATTGAAAAAGTTATGAGTATTTTCAGAAATCAAAAGTTTCTCTAAACACTAATGAGCCAAATTTCAGTGCTTGTTACAGGTTGTAATTGGATGATTGTGAAGGTTTATTGTTAGTACACTTATCAATATGGACTGTAAAAATACGGAATAATATGCAGAGTGAAGTTCTCAACACAGGGAACAAGATGCATATTTTTATTCATTTTTTGCTCTCCTCCTGGCCTCTCAATATTTTTGTGTATCAATAATTTAATTTTCTGCCCAGAAAATATTATCTTTCTTGTAGTGTTTATTTATCAGATTCTCTTACCTGGCAAGAAAATCTTGATACATTTTCTTCCTTGCATAATCCAACAGAACCGCTTCGAACTACTTTTGAACACTCTTTTTCCTGAACTTATGAATTCAATCCTACGTAACCTTGTTTTTTTCACACACTCCTTCAGCCAATGTTTCTTGACATGTACATTCATTTAAAAGATAAGAAGATATCATACAATATGATCATATATGAAACCTTGAGATTTGATCAACTGTCCGACTCCAAGTGTGTTTGTGTTTTGATCTGCTTCGAAAACTTTGAACAAACTGTTGATCTTTAGTACGCACATATCAAACACTCCACAAGTCGAGTTCATTTTCACATGTTGGGATACATTTGCCGGCAACTTGGCAAGCAGTCAGTTAGTCATTAGAGTCAGTATCATGCGTGTAACCCATTTCTATGCCTTTTGACTAGATCTTGGTACATGTAGATGTAAGTTGATCTATTAAGATGACAAAACTACTTCGAATATAGTGAAATCATTTGTTTGCTTGATGCACAGAGGTTGGACGACGAGCTGAATGGGCCAATGAAAGAGTGGACCTTCTCAGGAGGCCCAACAACTTTCTAGATGCTCGGATGAATGAAGAGGTTTAGCTTTCAACTTTCAACTTTCTTGCCCCAGTTTCTTTGTTCGAGATCCCAATAGATAGATAATTTGCTTGCTCCAAAAGAGCTCAACTTGTTGCATTGAATCCAAGTAATGAAGTTATTCAACAGAAGTTAATGAACCAAGAAACCTCATTTTTCAGATTGCACAAGCAAATGGGTTAAGAACTGGGTAAAGCAGTACAGTTTTCATCAAGTGGGGCTCTTGATATGGGAGCAGATTGTTTTTGGAGGAATGGACGTTGACACAATAGATGTGACGCCATGTGAGAGTTCTGTTTGTTTTGCTTGTCCAAGAGTCAGACTAATTTTGTCATCTTAAATGCATGAAGATTTTGCCAAAGATATACAATGAGGTGAGGGATTATCTCAACTTGATAACAGAGGACTCAGGAGGTTCAATTGAAAAATTCTCTACCATCAGTTTCCTCAAAGTAATCACGTATTCAATGTTAGATAGAACAAAATTACCTACATCATTTAGACTTGGTATAGCATAATACAATGTTGATCTTAAGTGATTTTCCTCAAGTTCTTTGAGATTGCAAAGTCAAAAAACTTGACAATAAGCTTATGTGACAAAGTTTACTCTTTTCCAGATAACCACTGTCGAGTCAACTTGATATGAATTCACACATCTCCGGACTTGAACTGATAACCCAAGATAGCTCAAATAAAGAGCCTCGAAAATCATGGTTGCAATCATTTTATTTACCCGAGAAGCTCAGAATTGCCAAGTATTGTGCACAGATCAAAGAGGAGGATGTCCAATCTTGTATTTGATAAGTCAACCAATGGTCTAGCTGGACAAAAAGCTCATGTAATCAAGTTTTCAATTTTCTATATGAGTAATTCAACTTAACATGACCATCCCCAGATGTGGCACCGAGCGTCATCTACAAAGATGCCGAAAAGGATTGTTGCAATCATTTTTTGTATATAAGGAACCCAAATTTTTGAGTGTCATACAAAGATCGTGAAAAAGGGAGCTAATCTTGAGACATTTTGAACAGTCAAACTCATGATTTAATCCATGGGTCCATTGAGTTTATAATCCAATTCCTGGGAGTCGAGCAAAGAAATAAATCAGTATCCATTCAGGAAAAACTTTACTCTCAACATTCTTCATATGTGATATAAAACATATACGGACCATAATCTCATTACAGGTCATTTCGTCCATGAGATGACATTGAACCCCACGAGATTTAAAATCTTCAACCAATGCTGGATTGATCTCTTTACCATCATCTTTAAGATGTCGATCCCTAGTAAAAACAATATGTTTGAAATTGGGAACTTTCTTCAAAGCATCCACACCAGCATATTTTAAAGCATTTTCCCAATAATCTTCACTAAACCGTAGATCTGTCACAATTGTTCTAACATTCTTTAACATTGGAACTTCTAACCAATAAATCCTTTTTGTAAATCCTTCTGGTCCATCTTGAGTTCTCATAACTCTTAATTTCGGAAAACTCAATTTTGTAACTTCATAAATAAGTTGATCATCAAAATTAATTGTGAATAAACCTTCTAATGTATCTTTAATAGGTTCAAAAATTCCACTCAAACCTTCAGAATCTCCCTCAGCAGAAAATAATTCAATGATTTTTAATGTTCTTTTCGAAGTTTCAATTATATGAGCAAGTCCTTCCGTCTCTTCATCATTTGTAAAAGAAAATAAACGAAGATTTGATAAAGCTGGAGGTTTCAACTTTAAATCGTCTAAGGAATCATAGTGGTATGATAAATTTTCTAATTTCGGTATTGATGATAATAATTCTGATATTGAATCTAAGTCGTAAGTTCCAGACTTTGAATGCTTGTAATCAAATGAAATATTCAATGATTTCAAATCTTTGATGGTTTTGATAGCTTCGATCAATTGGGCTGAAACTCCCATTGAACGGACAAAGGTAAGACATAAATTCTTTAGGTCGCTACCAAACAAACTGATTAATCTGGACAATTGATTCATCGAAACTGGAGTTGATTCTTTTGTAGCTGAAAAAAAACCAAATTGAAATCAATTTTAATCAATCCTTTGACATACCCACACAAAATATCAACATAAAATTCCATTTACCTTCTTGCTTTGGTTCCTTGCTCGCATCTTCGGCATCTCCACCTTCACCATCTTCATCATCTTCATTTTGTTCTTCTGAATACCAAAGTGCTTTAATCGAAAGTCCTTCGATAGGAAAAGAATTATGAGGTCCCAATAAACTATCATCCCAATGATCTAAAAACTCCTTTGCACGTCTAGAATTATTTATATAAATCCTTTGAAAATAAAGTGGTATAACAGCTTTAGCCCAAGTTTTAGAAACTAATCTTAATTTAATTAATTCCCTGTAAGATGAGGTCGTTAATTCAGGTTCGACAATTGAGTTATTGCAATCGAAGTCTCGATATAATCGTTTTACAAACTCTTGTAAGATTTGAGTAACAATATTCAATGGTAATCTTTTCATTTCATCCATCGTATCTTCAATCTTGTGCTTCTTCTCTTGTGTTTAAAAATTGAAGGATTTGCTGTCTTCTTGTGAATTCGTAAGGTTTTCAATGTGAGATCGATCGAGGAGCCTTCAAGTCGGCGACTGTTTCTTTACTTTTATAAAATGACCGTCGAGGTTTTTCTCGTGTTTTGGATTTCGTTCGGATCAACGCACCTCAGAGACCACTTCATATGTACTGGTTTACTGCGTAAAAATTTTCACACCCAGGTTGATGTTGAGTCCTGAGTCCTGACTGAGTCCTGACTGAGTCCTGACAGTAGACTGCATGACCAGAAATACCATCGGTTCAATTCTGTATAGCCAATGAATCTGCTTCCATAAAATGCTCAGCACCGTCATGAGTTTTCATCTGTAAAAAAACTTGTTTGCAAAATTTGTGTCATGTGTGGAATTCCTTCTTGCAATTCTGGCTGCAAAGCCACACCCAAATACAGCATATACAGGGCTGTATAAGTGGTATGGGCCCTAGGGTGACAGGGTGTGCACTGTGGGCACTACCCTGCTGCAGCCTTCAACCTAGCTGGCTATATGTACCACCATTCAATAACCCACCCACTGTAACCACTCACAACAGCTCACAGCACATCAGGTCATCTTCATCCAATTGACTCTGCCAGAGCTGGGGCAGTGTTCTGGTGTTTGGCAGCACCATTCAATTTTTGACTCACAATGGGATGGCTTGCTGTTTGATTCTCAAGTCCTTGTATCCACCTTGGGGATCCAACTCTGGTTGGCCACCAAGCTGTTTAGTCAACAAATTCCTTGGTTTCCTCAACCACAACTTGAATGTCACCTCAAGCACCTCAAATAGTCACCTTGCCTATCAATCTCCCCAACAAACCAGCCAAAAATCCTTGATCCATCCCATTTTTCCAACCAACACAACAACTACAACTATGATCAACAGAAGATTATCACAAGTTCCCTTGTTTGCTGTTCCCCTTGATTTTTTCCTGTGTTTCTTATTTTTGATTTCTTACAGGATTTCACTGCTTCATTTTTGGTTGATTCTAAATTTGACAGGGCTGCCAATGGCAACAACCATATCAACAACATGTGCGCTTATAGACAAGTGGATAGAACCCTTGATATACCATGACTAGACATAATTGAAGGAACACATGTGATGATCATAGAGAAAGACATAATTGCAGGGAAAACTTTTACTACATCCAATACTGACACACTGTGTATAACTGATGCATAAGAGCCCCTGAGAAGATATCCCAAGCTCTTCCCATGATTAAGTTGATTTTCTCATGGTTTGCGGCTTGGTTGGAAGCTGTAACATGGGAAATTCAAGTATTGGGTATTGCCACAGATGAGGAAATATAAAACAAAGTACCAGTAGACGTTTGATAAAGCCTTCAAAATTGATATGAAGATAGCTTCCTTTCTGGCAGTTCAGTGCCAAGACAACACCTTGGAAGATTAACAGAAGAAGGGAGTACCTTCTGCCAGCACAACTCCCCAGGACTATCAATCACATCTCCCATATACTAGTAACTGGCAGGCCAGAGACACTTGAGCAGGATTTCAAAATAAGTACAAGCAATTGTTTTACCAACATTCCACCTAAATACTGATGTCATCAAATGAGATGATAAATTTGTACACCCCTGCTCCTGTATTCACAGATCAAGAATATTGAGTTGACCAACCTTTGACACATCAATTGGATAAGTTATTAATCTTTGAAGAAAAACTCACGCATCAAAAAGCAATTTTTGCACTGTAAGCAAGAGATAAATCTTGACTAAATTACATCAATATTCATATAAAACAAAATTGATGACCATCTCTGCACTATAGTTTTCCACATATTTTCACCTTGGAGTTTGCCTTTATGAGCTGTAATTGTATATATCATTGTTGATTGTATATGAAAAGCTAGATCTGTCATTGTCCTTTGAGACTTTGTGATGTTGGAAAAGCATATGGGAGAAATCATTATGATATTCAATTCATATGGATTCCCTCCAACTAAATCTGCAATCACCCCCCAAAACCCCAAATCCATGGGACATGGTATCAGGGCTTTGGCGGGTAACTACAGATTTAGTCAGAGCTCATGTTAGACTCACTTTTTAGGGTGTAATTGGGGCTCAACGTCCATGATGTTTTGCCTTCAATTGCTTCCTCTATTTATACTGAATTTTGAACCATTGCTCATACACTTTTCAGTTATTCACAAATTGCTTTTCCTTCCAATTATGCTTTGTGTGTCATCTACGTCAGCTTTTTGCTTTCTTTTTTTGCCTTTTTGCTGTGCTTTCTCTGCTTTTAAATTGCTTTTCTCAACCTGATGGGTGCGTGGTCTGCATTCATTTGTCACGTAGTTTCATTGTTGTATCTATTGTGTCTTGATACATTCTCCTCTTGATTTTACTTTTTGCTTTCTTTTTTTCACTTTTGCCTGTGCATTGGCTGCTTTTGATACATTCTCCTCTTTATTTTACCTTTTGCTTTCTTTTTTTTACTTTTCCCTGTGCGTTGGCTGCTTTTAAATCCCTTTTCACATACTGATGGACAATCATGTGTCCTGTAGTTTCATTGTTGTAACAACTTCTTCTTTATCTGTTTTGCTTTTCACTTTCATTCTTTGCTTTTGTGGTCACTGCCTCTGTGTTCTACGTGTCTCTCTGCTCCATAACAAGATGCTTATATGCTTTTCAGTTATTCACAAGTTGCTTTTCTTTCAAATATTGCTTTGTGCGTCATCTACGTCTGCTTCTCTCCTTCTTTTTTTAACTTTTTCCTGTGCTTTTGCTGCTTTTAAATTGCTTTTCTCATTCTAATGTGTGCGTTTTCTACATTCGATTTTCACATAGTTTCATTGTTGAATCTATTTTGTCTTGATACATTCTCCTCTTCACTTTACTTTTTGCTTTCTTTTTTTCCTTTTCCCTGTGCGTTGGCTGCTTTTAAATCCCTTTTCACTTACTGATGGACAATCATGTGTCCAGTAGTTTCTTTGCTGTAGCTGCTTCTTCTCGATCCATTGTGCTTTTCACTTTCATTCTTTGCTTTTGTGATCACTGCCTCCATGTTCTACGTGTCTCTCTGCTCCATAACAACACCCTTCGCTCTTCTTACAATACCTCATGCTAATTGCATCCTTTTTCTATGTCTTTCTTGGTATGCACTTTTCACTTATTCTTTTCAGCCTTATGTGTCCATTTGATCCTGAGGCCTTTCCAAATGCCTTACACTATGTGCTGTAAACCAATTATGTCTTTTGTGTTGCCTCTCTTCACCTCACGTACATGTTCTCAAATGCACTCTCTGAATCTTACCTCGCCCTTGCTGCAAGCGCTTCCTACATTGTGCTTTTTCTTCATGTGTTGTGTATACAGCGCTTCAAGAATCCTTTGGGTTTTTTTGACACAAGAAAACAAAATAAGTGTCCAAAACCCTGGCTAAAACCCTTGCTAAAACCACTTTGATACTAAAATCTGTCAAATTTGAACTGTCCAAAAGAGTGTTTTCTGAGTTTTGTCCAAAACTTGGAAAAAAAGACCGCCAAATAAACCAAAGGATTCTTGAAGCGCTGGAATCCTTGTTATTGTTTTTCTGTTATTGTAATCACAGGGGCCAAAATAGATACTCACATACATGTGAGCGTTGTAGACTTTTTGGAATTCTCCAAAAAAGATTCATTTTCTTTCAGATTGATTCAATTCACAATCTTGTTTGTGTTCAGGTGATCATCCTGTGGTTCTCATATTTTACTTGACATTTATTGAGAAGGCTCATTTCCATCTTGGATGAGCAATAACTGATTCCCAATGAGTACTCAGGATCAGCTCATGAGGCACTGAATACTCAGCAATTTGTTCAAAATGAAGATGAGCACATGAACTATACCTTCCTGAGGCTTCATTTTTCAGTGAAGAAGCCTGCCCAGGGGCGTCCCAATTGAGCTGCTCAGCAAATACTCAGTAGCATCCCCTGACTGGATCACTGATGGGCCGGACTTTTCTCAGACTTCCTTGCTAAGGAATGAAGCCTGATAAAAGCGTCATCCCATCTGCTCATTGCTCAGCTAATCCTCAGTGATATCCCTGGATAAAGTTTTTCACACTGAGGGGCTGAGATCAACTGAGCAGCCCCTCAGCCAATACTCAGTGACATCCTCTGGATCCTTCTGATCCGGCCAGGAATGCCCCTGAGGACTAGCTGAGCAGGCCCTCATCCAATGAGCAGTGAAATCCTCCGGATCCTCCTGATCTCATGGATGCCCCTGAGGAATAACTGAGCAGCCCCTCATCCAATGAGCAGTGAAATCCTCCGGATCCTCCTGATCTCAGGGATGCCCCTGAGGAATAACTGAGCAGCTCAGTTGAACGAGCAGACGGGCCTCAGGCTTCATTCCGGAGCCATGAAGCTTGAGGCAAGCTTGGCGCTCTGTGATCCATCTGGGGGATACTTCAGAGACTTAGCTAAGGGAATACTCAGTTCAGCTCAGCCCCTAAGCTATACATTGGTGGCATCCCTTGGAGCTTACTGAACCAGGGAATGCCGCTCAGGATCAGCTGAGCAGATGGATCAGCCCTTCCTCAGACTTCTTTGCTCAGGAATAAATGCTGAGGAAGGCTTAGTTTGTCTGCTCAGTTCCTGATGATCACGTAATCAGCTGACAAACAGAAAGAAAAGGGAAACAAATGGGAAACAAATGGGAAACAAATGGGAAACAAATGGGAAACAAATTGGAAACAAATGGGAAACAAATGGGAACAAAACAGGAAAATTTCAACGCTCACATAGTTGTTGCCCCTGTGAATGGCCTATAACATGGTGTTTGTATCTCCTGTTGGTGTCCTTTTTTACCTGTGTCCCGCAATTTGCCATATGCGCCATATGCGTTTTTTTAATCATCCTTTTTCAATTGGGGGATTATTTTTGTCCAAAATGCTACATCTCCATCTATCTCACATAATAGGTTATTCTATTTTCCTTTTTCTGGGGGTTAAACCACTCACAAGCTTTGCCACTTCCATATAAGCCGCCAGTTGATTTTGCGCTTTGGGTCTCTCCAATAATTCCTTTCAATCCTACTCTCTTCGACTTCACCCATAATGTTCCTTTATATTATATTTATATACAAAACTTATAACCAACACCAACCCTTTCCTGATTCATTGCATCACTAACAGTGCCATGTATCCCACCCAATTGCTAGACTCAACCTATGTACCCGGTTTTGGCGTAGTCAACTGGATGACAGTTGACATGGCAGAAGACCGTGTTGAATTAGACATCTTAGGTCACTTGTTATAACATAGTTTGACAAAAAAATTGTCCATATGTTTGTTCATATCATTACCTAAGGGCAAAAAGTTTAAAAAACCCTATTATACACATACAATTCACAATCACATATAGAACTAAAGCCTCATACACAGACACTGTAGTAGGGCTATGACCCGGCCCTCTGTGTGATGGGGAGGCCCCGGGGTGTTCCTGGGACCTGAGCACACCCAAAAGGGATCTAGAATTCACTCAGGGTCAATCAGGGCACACCTTGAATCAATTACAGGTGCAAGAAGCGGGGCAGAAAGGGGAAATTTTGACAAGTGTTGCAGGATTGAGTGTATTGTTCATTTGTACAACCTATGTGCACCTACTTAGAATTTCAAAAGAGCTGTAAACATGTTATGGCTCTGAGTCTGGGTCTTGGGCAACAGAAGTGAGGATTCAGTATGCCGTCTGGTTCTATTATGAGATTGTTGTATAAAGGAAAAGGACAATGATGAGCTAGTGATGTATGTATGATGTGGTCCACAATATGTGAGATGTGCATCAGACCTTTCACAGATTGGATTGTAACAAAACACTCAAATAGACACCATTTTTTTGTTTGTCCAGGAAAAACAAACCAGGCAGCCAGAGCCACTGGAGCGCCTGCAGGGCTTTTGGAATTGTGTTTAGCTTATTTCAGTGCCCTGGGGTGTGGACTGCCTCTTTACAAGGAAGAGTCATGCAGAGTGCCAGGACAAAGCCCCACAATGTAGGGACAAACCATGGCCCAAAAATGCAGCAGAAATGAGTATCAACTGTATTTTATATGTATATCTCTGCATCTTGAAGATATTCAAGATTCAATTCTTCCTTATAGTACAAAAATAGCTTTTTTAATTTGTGTTTTTTTCTGAAAGGCTTACAGCCAATTTGAGGATGATTGACCTCTTTTTTTGAAAAAAGTTGCTGTCACAGTGGTCAAAACCAACCAAAGAGTGTTTTTACAAGTTCTGTATCCTCTGGATTCTCAGATTCAGCAGAAAAACAAAACTCAGTCAAAACAAAAGCATGTTTTGCAGGGTTTTGAATCATGATGCATATTTCAAAAAAACATCCATTCTCAAATTGGCTGCAATAACTCATCAAATTTATGTGATGGAGCCTGAGGTTGGTGAACTGTATATTCTTGATCTGTGAATACAAGATCAGGTATGTACCAATTTATGATGTCATGTGATGGCATTGGGATTTTGGTGTTATGGCCAGCAAATGGCCCCCACAGTGATATTATGTTGAGATTATCATGTGAATATATTGAGAATATGTTGTGAATATGTTGGAGTTGTGGTAGTCACTGGCAGTTCTTGCCTGCCAGTGACTAGTAGATGAGTCTGGGGGCTGTGAATGGCCTATGACAGCACAGCCAAACTACCTTTTGAGGAAGCACTCTTGGATGGTGCACTTTTCTGAATTAAAAATATCACAAAAACAATTGTCAGCACAGCAGATTGGGTCAATCTCAACAGGTAGCCCCATAAATTATCTTCTAAAAAACCAGCATGTTGGGTGTTGACCCACCAACTGCATGTGAATATAGTGCACATTTGGAGGTGCTTTGAGAGGGATGCACAACACAATCTGTCTTGAGGGAAATGTTGAGTCACATTTTGATGTCACAGGCAAACATTGGTGGGGAGATCCAGGTCCTAGATATGGTGGTACATGGCATGTTGTTATTTGTCAATGTACTAATATTCTGGTTGAGGAGCTTGAGAATGAAGTCTTGGTCCTTGTCCCAAAAGATTAAGTGCCTCCCAAGTGTGCTTAACTCCTGAGGGTTACAAACCACAGAGGCTACCCTTTGCCACAGGGCATGCCATTTGTTGTGACAAACTAGAGCATGCACTAAGAGAAATGGAAAGGGTACATTTCATGTAAGCATTCTAACACTAAAGGGAAAAAAACACCATTGTGAGATGGTGCATGAGCTAACAAGTGACTTCACAAGCTCTTGAACCCAATTAATTGTCTTGCCTTCACAGAGGTATTGGATGGCCAATACCTTAATGCTGACTCGGTACTATCTGATGTGAACTCACATGTCAGGAGAGGAAATTAGAGTTCAGAGCACAATGGAGTTTGTCAGAGTGCAGCATGGAGTGGTGGACTGGGAAGAATGGAACATACCAGAGTCAGACAAAGCAGGGGGAAGGATGGATGTGGTGGTTGGATTCAGGGTCAATGTTGCAAAATTGCAAATGAGGTGGGATGGACTCCTGGCAATACTATTTAGGGCATCAGGATTCATGGGGTTGATAACCCATAAGTAGTCACAGCTTGGTGTCAATCACCGCAAGTATGGGCCTGGGCCCTGTACATATTGGCTGTGTTTGGGTTGGGCATTGACACAAAAGTTGCAAAAAAAATTGCGACCATGACACAAATTTTGAGCTGTAAGATAAAAAATGTTGCAGAATAAGTTCAAGTCACCTAACTCTCACACTTCTGAATTTAGAGCTTTTTGATCAAATCTAAGAATCAGAAACTAATCACTCTGATCTCAACAAACATGCATAAAAGGCAGAATCAAGATAAACCGAATACTCTGCATATCATATAACAATAATCAAAGGAATTTAAAAATAAAATAAAACAAAAGAGACCAAGTTTGAGTTTTTTTTCTTTGCAATTCATTCATTCTCTTCAACTAATGAAAGAAGAAGACCAAAAAGACAAATAAAAAAAGGGTATGTGTGTAAAAAACAAAAGAAGAAAAAAAGACTTTTGTGGTAAACACACAACCCACTGGAAGTCTACATCCAAAAGAAGAAAAAGAGGAAAACCAGGTGAAGAAGGGTGGGGGCTGGGTGCAAAAAACCAGATTTGATTATTGGAAAAAGCTCGCACAAGGAGTAGCAGGAGTAGGAGAGAGAAGTGGATAGAAAGACCAAAAACAAAAGAGAAAAACCATAAAAAAAGTTCGTGTCTTCTGCTTTTTTGGATACGTAACTTATAACAAAATTATAGTAAAGCAGAAGGAATGTAGAAAAATAAGGAGAGAATGAGGAGAGGTGTTTATTCATCTATTACTCAAGAATCCTTTCTTCTTAGTTTTCTCAGGTGTTAATGGTCTACCAGATTCTAGCCGACGTTTCTTATCTTCCAATTCAAGTCTTTGAATACCAAAAAAAGTCAGAAACAAGTCAATCACTTTATTATCTCTCTTTGCAAATCAGAATTAAAAGAGAAAGAAAATAAGAAAACGGACCGTTGTTTTTCAAGAGCTTCTTTCATATCACGATGTCTAGCATAGAGTTCCTCTTCCGATTGTTTTAATTTAGCTTCTTTTTCCGCTACTTTTTGTTGAAAGACCATCTTCATTTCAGATTCCATCTTGGACAATTTAGCTTCATGTAAAGATCTTTCTTCTGCCATTTTCGCTGCAGGGCTGTAGTAATCACACAAAAAGATCTCAGTGTCTGTAAGTATAAGGAAAAAGATTATAAGAGGTCGATAGTAAAAGTTTATTACTAACTTGACTTCTTTAAAGACTGAATGATCTTGAGTCACTCCCATGGACAAAAGTTTCTGAGATCGATAATTTTCATATAGAACATTAAGAGTATGTTCTTTTAATTCTTCCATATGCGTTCGAATCAGCATCTGCCTTAATTTCAAGAAATCACAATGATCTTCGTTATCGACTTCTACTGTTCCAGAAGGATATTGTCGTCCTCGAACTTGTCGACCATCAGCTGTTTGAACTTCTGTATCTGAACCTACGATGGCGAATGGGATCTTTCGCTGATGAAGCAGGAATACCACTCATTAGATCGACATACAGACAATGGAAGTAGCCGAAATGAAACAGTACCATTATTTCTTCGTTCTCAGCTAGAGTCTCCTCGTCCTCTTTTTCATATCGGGGAGCTTCATAGATTTGAATATTGTGGAATGCAATATCGGATAGAATCTTTTTAGGGTTTGAATATGACATTCAGATTAGTGATGATCAACAAGTAGGGAGTAGATCAAGAAAAAGAATATACCCTCTGTTTGAAAGCAAGGATCTCATCATCTGTCATCGTATCAGATTTAGCAATGACGGGGATCAAGTTAACTTTAGTATGTAGACGTTTCAAAAACTCTACATCAACTAGTTTCAATCTTTTTTCCGGTGGGAGAGTTATTTCGATCAAAATCAGAATCCAACCAAAAACAAAGGTGAAATTTTTTACAAGCTTACGAATGACCAGTAGGTTCAATGAAATAGATACAGGCATGAACCCGATTATCCACCATCTTTGCACGATTCACTCGATTTTCTTGTTCAAGAAATGCATCGAAACGAGCTTCGATATTATCGAGTATAGGTTTCCATGATTCAGAGTTATTGACAAAGTCACCATAACCTGGTGTATCAACTACAGTGAGTAAGAGCCTTACACCCGTCTCCTCGATTTCTACAAAAATCGAATGATTAAAGGTAAGTTCATCGGAACAAGATGAGGAGAGTTGTCAGAGTGAAAAATGAGTAACCTGCTGAGATGCTTTGAATCGCTATCGTTCTTGGTCGATCAGCATGAGGACCAGGATAATCTTTTGGTGGATAGAGAGTAGTATTGAAGAGTGTGTTGATCAAGGTCTAGGATGAAACCAAAGTAAAAACAATAACAGATGACTTGAATTCAACTTTTTGACTTTGTGTGGTCATTTCAAATCAATCAGATTTACCGATTTCCCTAGACCACTCTCACCCACAACCATAACAGTAAAACTGAAGCCCTTTCGGACTGATTTACGATGTACTTGATTTGGTAAGTTTGCAACTGTGTTTTTGATATTACATGATCGAGGAGAACAGATCGAACGCAGATTAGATTATGATCAACATTAAAAAACTAGTGATTTACTAATACTGACATCCAACATAACCCATTAGTTTTTTTCGAACGATATTCGATATTGGGGGTGAGATTGGTTCATTGGCATTCATGACTGGAGCTAAAAGTAACAAAGCAAGGAACGGTTTTTAGTAAGCATTGTGTAAGTCCTTTATCGATATATCAAATATCATGATCGATATACTAACATGGCTGTCGAGTAGGATCGTATTCTTCTGGTTCTGACATTTTGAATGAGTTCTATTAATGGATCGAATCAAAGTAAAGAGATAGCTGATGGTTTGTCGTTGAAGGTAGGGAAGTGATGATGAATCGGGTGAATCGAGGATGGTCAACAGTGGTCAACAGTCCGAGTGCACTCAAACTCAGTTCCAGTATCAGAGTCAGAGATCAGACTTAAAGTTATGTATGTATGTACTATGTATGTCTCTGTCTTAAAGAGCTTCCACTCTTTATTTGGCTCGAAGGTCATGAACTTAAATATAAAACTACATAAATATCTCTAATTCTGAGGTCTGAATTCAACCTGTGTCTAATAAGGGGGCTCAAGTCAAAATATTTGCAACCTTTTCTTAAAAAATTGGGGAAAGTTTTTTATGGTACCGTGCTGTAAAAACTTTTCCCAATTTGTAAAAAAGGACCGTAAAAATTTCTTCCGGATCTCCTTCTGAGCAGTAAATTTACGCAAATTTGCTGCTTAAAAAAATTTGGGATGTCGTATAACATTTCCCAATTTCATAAAATTTTGCGTAAATTTTATGAAATTGGGAAAAGTTTTTTATGATAAAAGTAGTAAATTTTTTTGACTTGAGCCCCCCTAATATTCTCATGAAAGGTAGAGCTGAAAAATATTCCTCATCAACACTTTGGTTGGGGAATTCATGAAAACTCCACACACACAGTCAACCTTTGTATATGTGTATCCGAGCCAATTCCTCATCGTCAAGTCAAAGTCTATGTTGTAGAGTTAAAACATATGAAGTATTAACAAAAGACAGAAATATTTTGAATCCAAACCGACACAACCCCCGAATGCTTGACAGCAAGAGATACACTTCCCAAGGTGAAGCAAAAGTAAACATTGTTGACCGAGTTATATTTGGCTTATGCACCAATCATAAGCTAGACGACAAAACATGGACCGGTATAGATAAGTATGAATAAAAAAATCAAGAGGGTCGAGATACCGTCTCTCAATCTTTTTGGCTAACTTTGAAAGACTCGAGTGTAGATGAATGGTCAGAAATCAATTTCCAACGGTGCAACATTGCATGAAAGGAAACAAAGTCATTCCAAGTTGAGTGTCTTCTACGGGTATCTGAACACTAGGACTCCTAGAGGCTAAGCTTTTTTAGAATCCTTGTCACACCCTCAATACGACTGAAGCTGGTAACTTTTTCTTTCCTTGATGCGCGGCTCGACATTTGAAGTTACAATAAACGTTGAGGGTACAGTAGCTACAGATTATCATTGAGCAAGTAACACCCAAGGAAGTTCACGACATATTGATAAGGCCAAAGAAAGAGTAGAATGCAAGGACCATTTATTACGATGTAAAAAGGCTGGCCAATTGAAATTCTATTTGTCGGATGTGGATGTCCTTTACAATCTGACAGGAGCAACGGTAGAAGTAGGAGCCTGACAATACTTCTTATGTCTAGTCCAATCTTTCTTTTGACAAACAGTGCCACAATAGAAGACACACTTGCATCTAGCACAATGTTGAAGTTCGGCGTATTTGGATAATTTGGCAGCGTTTATCATTTTAGGGCACTACAAGGAGAGTTCATTGGTCAATAATACTCTGGATACAATTGATAACTTTGATGATTGGATTTAAAGTGAAGACTTACTTGATAGTGAGAGCAGACCATTTCATTAGGAGCACCCATGGTTCGCCATTTGATTGCTTTTTCATGATCACCTTTCATTTCGTATAATCTACCGAGATTATCACGAGTACAGACTAGATCTGAAACGGCACCATCTGAATGATGACGATTGAGAGGATCACCATCAACATTACGTCATCTATTTCGAAATTAATTCTAACTTACCCTTTCGGACTATTTCAGCTTCTTCGAGGAACTTTTGCGCTTCGTTCAACCGACCCATATCGATGTAAAGCTCTCCTAAAGAGTTCTTGGTGAGTGCGACCGTGTGTGATTGTGCTCCACTAGTGGCGATTTTACGTTCCAACGCGTTCAAAAGAGCTACTTCTTCTTTCTCGTATTGACCATCTTTGTGAAGTTGAACAGCTTGGTTTTGTAGATTGCAATTTAAAGGAACTTGTGGGTTACTAGAGACTGAACTGTGGAACATTTCGTTTTTGGTTGATAAGATGTGAATTGATTAGTTTTGAAATATGCAAAATAATCAAAACTGGGTTATGATCAGGTGATGAATTTTGAGTTGAGTGGGGTTGAAATCGAGAATTTAGGACACTCGGCGAGTTTTGATTGAGACTGATGATTGAAAGGCAGGATCGACACTTGCATGTCCTTTTGTTCCGGATGCACACATGCCATACACGGTATACACCACCGGTATATTAACTTAACTAGGTCGGCTTGTGAAGGTTAAAAAAGGCCAGCGAGCTTTTGGGACTTTAGACCGGTAAGACACCCTGGTTTCATCACCCTCTTTGTCTGCCTCAATTGAGGCGGTGAATTAAGCTTACGATGTTTCCATCTAGGACCGGCTGCATCTAAGTCATAGCTGAAAAATCGAGATCTACATACCGATGTGGTCTCCTCATCTTGTGGGGCTTCCAGGGGTCATGTACTTCGCATCTACCCAAGCCAGGTTACTATGTACATCGGTCGATTAATTCCTCCGTTTAAAGGGAGGCTTACATTGGAACATGTTGTGGTCGTACCCCAGGACACCTATGTATGATATTTTGCTGCTGGTGATATACATATTTGCAGCAGCGCCCTCAAATCGGGGAACCTCGGGAGGGTCCATTATTTGAGACTTGGTTATCATTTATAGGGTTTCGTGCGATTATCACCATGGGATCCAGGAAACTCGCATCTGATAAGAGATTAGAGGTGCATATGATTGTGAGAACAGGGAATCACTTCCAGAGCCCGAATAAATAAAAAGGTGAAGAGGTGGAACTTTCATATACTTCTCGGAACGGGGTCTCGCGGCGTATCACTTGACGGCGTCGCTTGATTTTATTTCAAGACCTCCTCTTACATGATGTTTATGAAAACAACAATTCGCTCTCTTTGCATGACCCTTTGATTCTATGCCCAGGTATTCAAGAATCGAACACCACTTGCTTCATCCCATTGAGGATTGCCATGTTTTAAAAGACTTGATGAAGAAAACATTCCGCTAGTCCATATGTTCTGAAGGTTGGAATGGTCGGCTTCCAATGAGATCTTTACACTGGACTGGATGAGAATTCGATGTAGCAGTCTCATCTTAATTTAACCACAATTTTGATTGACATTTGATTTTACAACGAGAAAGCTCAAGCCTTTTATCAGCAGGAGATTGCGAGAGAAAAAATGTTGGAATTTCTCAACACGCAAAATAAGACAAACTAGGTGGCATACAAAGGCAGACTACATGTATTCATTTTACCTAAAGGCAAAATAAGAAAACACCGTAAATGTGATAATTGAAAACGCAAGGCATTCATAATCACACACTTCCGAGGGATTTGTATCATTCCACCCAAATATATCAATCCTGATCCATTACCCCAATCAATGTTTATTTCTTCCACTGGGATAACTATCTCTTCAAATTTGACATTTGGTTGATTTGGCATTGATAGGAACACAAATAGTATTGATCAATTGGAAACATCACAGCTACAAATAATTTGAGTGTTCACGCCTAATGTGTGGAACCTCAGTCTCAGATATACAATGAGTCCTGGGGGCACCATGTCAAAATTTCTTAGCATACATTGCTTTGTGGTTATATGGATGTAGTGAACTCAAACTGTTGTGGAGGATTGATTGAGCTTGAAGAAGATCAGGAGGTGTTGATCCTCCTCAACTTTGCCTTAGATTTCATCAGTTCTGACCTTGGGTGATTTGAAAATCTTTTCATGTCAAACAATCTGAAAGTCCTGGCAGCCTGTTACCAAGTAATCTTGTCATACCATTGTTTCTCAATCCACTTGATACATGCCATATTCCAGTGCATATGCCAAGTAGATGATACAATCAGTAATAATGGTGTAGAAATAAAATATGCATTCCTACCTTTCAGTATATATCTTATTGCACTGTATCATACAGTGCTGTATCATACAGTGCGATAAGATATATAGTAGCATAGAGGAAGTCAATTATCTGACAGCCAATACAACACAAATCATGAAATCCCAACAATAAAATAAACAAACTATTTGTGCAATTTATTTAGGGGTTAGGGGTGTGCTTAGCATTAGGGTTGTGGTTACGCTTTGAGCAGGAGCTATTTATTGGACCATCACCTCATGGAATGCCTTTGGATGCCATCTAACAGCAAGACACCCCTAGAATGGCTGTTTTGACCTTTAGCATCACACTCAACATATATCCACCATATTTCTGTTTCCACTTTGAATGAATCAATACTGAGCATCCTTCTGGAATCAGCAAGTATTACAATAACCACATGTAAACCTGCAAAACAGTTCTCTTAGTATGTAGATCTACCAAATTGTCACTTTGAATGTCAAGTGTGAAACCAAAGTATATTCTAAATACCCTCCAATATTTTCAATATGTTGCAAAATAATCGAAATCAAAATTGCCGCTCAATCATAAGGTGTGATTCTTGTTATGTTTGGTATTTTTTTCCAATCTAGCATCTATCTACATATATAGTGATTCAATCCATCCAATAATAACAGCCTTTCTTATCACAATGTTACAGACCGCCCAATAGCTTAATCCAACCTCTATAGATTCCCTTTCACCCAAAATTGTTGAATTGTATTGATTTTGAATCAAGATCTCCATGTAAAGTGACAACACTTTGTACTTCATTGTCTTGAACGTTTACTCATCTGCACATCTATTTATCAGTTTCACTTTCCGCTCTATCAACTATGCACCAATTTAAGTCACAAATCTACCTCTGACATCAGGAGATATAAAAGCATTGTTGATAAATTACACTGATAAGTGTCAACTTCTGTTTCACTGCTCAAAGGATTCAATTGTAGAGTGTGGTGCCCGCAGACCAATTGAGCTAGTTTTATTTAATCACAAAATTGAAAATTGAATCACAAAAGGTCAGGATGTTCTGTCTATAGATAGCTCTCACTGCCTTGATTGAATTCCCAGAGTCTGTACAGATCTGTTTGCTAGTTAACAGTCAGTTTTCAATATATGTATAGCTCTGTTTGCCTCAGCTTTGCTGGAGTCCTATGCTCTTGGCCATCAAATCATCATGTTATATGGTATATGGAGGGTATTGAAGTACAAGTATGTATAAAAAATTAAATTCCTGTGTTTGCAAGGATATATTTCCTGCTGCCTCATCCTATTGGCAGGGACCCCATAGTTCAAGGAAAAACTTTCAAGATTTATAAAGACTTATAGAACAGACAGATTCTAGTTTGTAAGAAGTCTACTGATGAAAACAAATTTAAAGAGGGGGAAGATTTGGACTAAAGGAAAATAAGGTATTTGGGGGGTTAATGTGTAATCTCATTTTCCCTTTTGGCTCTTGCTTAGCCACTATCTCTACATTTTCCCTTCAAGATTCTTCTCCTCCTTCACCTCCATTTCCAGCCTCTTCACCTTATTTATCTTCATTTCTGTTTCTGCCTCCTTGGTTGTTACCTTGTTGAAGTCCTTTCCCTGGTTCTTCTCTTGTTCCAGTTCCATACTGGACATCTGAATTTCATACTTTGCTTCTTCTAACTGGACCTGATGTTCCCACCTTTAAAGCTTCTTCTGCCAACATTCTTGATTCTTCCAGTTGTTCCTTTTCTTGTCAACTTGAATTCTTGACTAGATATTTTGGTTTATATTGTTTTGTAGTTGGAAACTAATTATTGTTGCTAATAAAGTCACATTTTCTATGTGAGCCTCATCCATGGACTTCTACACCAAGTTGTGCCTTGGAAGTTGGTTGGTGCTCATAAAGATATCTTGTGCATGATCACATGATGGTGCTGCAAAATCACCTTTTTTTGAATGGTTTTGGCTTCCACCCATTTGAAGAAGAACTCAAGACGCAGAGTCAAAACTCTTGCAAATTAAAAAGACACCGCAATCAGCTCTTCCAGTCAGACTAAATACCATCCTTGAGTTTATAAGATGTGGGCTGCCTGCATAACTATAGTCTAGATCTATCACAACATAAATGAAGCTGAACTCCAAGAGAATTTCATTCACTGCATCTCAATCATCGAGAAATTTGGACTTGTCTTTTGTATTAATTAATCAGCACAAATCCGAAAAGAAAGTAAAGCTTCAAGAAGTTCACAAGGTTTGACAAGGAGAAAGAATATTTACGCAGGATGCATAGAGGCCAATTATATCATTCACACAGCAGGACCAGGAGCCTTGCAGTACTTCTTGTGTCTCTTCCAATCTTTCTTTTGACACGCAGCGTTGCAATAGAAGACACACTTGCATCTAGCACAATGCTGAAGCTCAACATATTTGGATAACTTGGCAGCATTTATCATTTTGGGACACTACACAGGTATCATATGGGTCAATAATATTACACACTGTGAAAAAACTCTCATAGGATCAGAAGGGGAGACTTACTTCTAAATGCGAACAGACCATTTCATTAGGAGCACCCATTGTACGCCACTTGATTGCCTGTTCATATTCTTCCTGCATCTCATATGTCCTACCAAGATTATCACGAGTACAGGCCAGATCCGAAACAATACCACCTGAAGGAAGATTGAAAATATTGACATCACGCTAACGACCATCATAAGAGGATTGATTCAGACTTACTCCTTCGAACTCTTTCAGCATCCTCAAGTAACGATTGTGCTTCCTTCAATCGACCCATATCGAGGTAGAGATCCGCTAAGTCACTCCTAACAAGTGCAACATCTTGTGACTGTTCTCCATTGGTGATTATCTTCTTTTGTATTGATTTCAAAAATACTACTTCGGCTTCCGCATATTGACCATCTCTATAAAGGGAAAGCGCTTTGCTACGTGATATGCCATTTTCTATGAGTTGTTTGTTGGTAGCTGTGCTGGGAGAGGTTGAGCTATGAAATCCTTTCATTTTCTGTTTTATATTTTTGGTGTCGCGAATTGAAAAATATGAGACACAGAAAACCAGAGTACGGATTCAATGAGCGTGGAGGTAAGTTGGTCGTGTACCTTTGGGAACAAGAAGAGAAAAAAGCAATTTATATCTTTCATGCAGGGGTGATGATCGCAATGCGAGGAACCCCTTCATAGCCTTAGTATCAGAGATATATTGGCAATGTCCTATCTAGGCAAGTCATAAAATTCTCACTTGAGGCAGTCACAAACTTTGAAATTGTTTGTATTGTTCATCTAGCTACCTTTTTTCTTGGAGACTTCTTTGAGTGATGACGAGACGTTCTTTTGGCGAACACTTGATCTGAAGATATCCAGGAAGACGAGGGTTTTGACTTTCCCAAATCTCATTTACATCATGAATAGATTCAAAAGCGCTTTGCTTTGAAGGAGCCAAATGTACTCTGACAATGGGAATCAGTCAAAAATAACTCCAGAAGATTTACTGCTGTTGACAGTGGCTCAGATCAGCCCCATGGATGCAGCTTTGATTGAGGTTACAAGCCAAGCACCCTTGATATCTTAGCCTCCAAGCCTATTATCCTGGCAGTTTGTCAGATACACATTGGGAACAAAAGAAATGTTTCCTGTGAGTGTTCATATATCTTCTCTCTTCAAGACCCGATGAGCCTTACTTCCAGTTATTTTTTAGTATACTTCAAAATCATGTGACACGTACAAAGACCCCATTTGGTAAAAAAATGTGACAATCATTCCAATGAGGATGCATTACCAGCTATTACCCGGGATAATGATGGCTCTGATCAGCCCAGATTGAATGGTATCACTTGGTCTATCTACAAAGGTCTTTACCAGTTAGTCAACCCTAGCTTATTTATTTATCAGGATCTCCATCTTATCAAGCATCAGATGACATCTTTTCAATCTCTGTCTTTCTTTAAGCCCTTGGAGTGCCATTAATTGTGATTGCTCATTATTACTATAATTTCTCATTAAACAAGTATGACACTTTCTCATTCCTCAACAGTATCCTTCTGATTTCATGTGGTGGATACACAAATCCTTTGTGTCAGTGGAATCTGATGTTTAAAGTCTGAACTTACTCAACACTTTATACTTTAATCTTTGGCCAAGACTGACATAGTGGGACTTGGATATTTTTGATCATCATGTCCACTTTTGCTTACCAAGTGATAAGAGGTTATGTTAGTGGTGAGGAAGATTTGGTAGTCTATCTTGGCAATGTGAACAACTATGAGGGAAGGGAGGGGAAGGGTGATGTCAAACTTGTTGGATTGTTTAAAAGTCTGAACTCACTCAACACATTATACTTCAATCTTTGGCCAAGACTGACATAGTAGGACTTGGATATTTTTGATTGCCATGTCCACCCTTACTTGCCAAGTGATAAGAGGTTACATGGGGGTGGGGAACATTTGATACTAGTAGTCTATCTTGGCATTGTGAACAACCATGAAGGAAGGGAGGGGAAGTGTGATGTCAAACTTGTTGGATTGTTCAAACACCCCAGAGGTGGTGCTTGGCAAAGGTTCTGGAACACTTCAAAATGCTAAGCCTGCCATGGTAAAAATCACACACCATGGCCTCCCAAGCTGATTCAGAGTGGTTTGAGTGACATGTGGCTATGAATTGTTTGATTTTACTGATACAGTGACCCAGGGTTGAACAGATTTGGTAAGGCAATTTCTTTGTTTGATCACTCCAGTCTGGTCTGACTGTTGAATACTTTGGATCCAAGGAAAGGGAAGTGAAGAAGGGGAAACCAGATGAGAAAGGCTTGAAGGTTTTGAACAAACCTGTGGCATCTTCTTAATCACAATAACACTTGAATCATCTTTATTGATCTTTATTTCATTTGATCCTCAACTACGTATGTACAGTAAATTCCATAAAGGATGAAATCCTGAAGTTTTCAAAATCGAGGCATGGTCCGTGCAAGGGCCAGCATCGGCCAGAACTTGAGTGCCTGGGGCTGTCAAAAAACCCTTCTCGGACGACATTATTACGATTAGATCTGGACTAATCCGAAGATCCTCTCTTCTCAACAACTTTCATGAGGATCAATCTAAGCCACTCTTACGACTTTTCCCATTCTAGATGAGAAGACTCACGATGGCAGGATGGGGCGGCCCAATCCTTTTCGAACCCGGCGTGGATGACATCTCTGGCCCTTTTTCGAGAACCACCATTGCCGAATCCTCAGTGACTTCTTCTCCCGGCTCAACATCGTCTTTGGACCTTTCTTCAGCCATCGATTTCATCTTCATCGATTTATCAGGGTCCACCCATTTTACGTGCTTTTGCAATAATCCGTTCGACAATCCACTTTTCAATCCACTTTTCTTTTCCTTTTTCAACATGTCTACTCATGCTGGCGAACGAGATCATGTGTCTCAACTCAGTGATGTGTTCGTTGCTCATGTTCTGGATTCACCACTCGGAAATGCAGCTTACTAATCATGATTTTATCATTCCAGGTCAAATTCGGACTCGGAGTTTATCAAGATGGCGAAAAAATATCTGGTCGATGCCAATGGGAATTTCGAGGACTCCTCTGATGATAACAGTTCCGGCAAATCACTTGTCGACTTCGATTACAGCCATTCCTCTCCGGTCAAAGATGAAAAGCCCGCCAGAGCACCAACTCCGTTCATTCCACCTGGTATGTGAACTTTTCCTGATTGCCTTTCATCGTTAAGTTAGTGACATCTTTGGTTTGTAGCGGCTTTACCCAAACCCAAAGTCACGATGCAGTTTTCGGATTTTAGGGTTGCTTTCAGCTTGTATACGGTGAAATCGAGCAAAGGCCCGGTGAAGGCGAATGCCAAACGCCAATGGATTCCCCACAAATTCCCAGTTACCGATCAACAAATCGACCTATCAATTTCATCCCTTCCTCAGCTCAAAACTCACTTGTTCACCATTGCGGACAAGGTTGCCGAAGAGCCAACTGGCGGTATGTCCGCGTTGTACAAATTGGCCAAGGCGGAAGGCAAGCTCTCCATCGGCCTCTACATCAGCACCCACTCGACTTATGGCAAGGGGAAAGATTACCGCGCCACCGAAGATTCTCACCTGGTCGATTTTTTCCTAGCTGTCCAAAATAATGCCCTGTGTGAAAAAGGAATATCGGTGATAATGAAGAACCCTACTAAAGCAGCTTCACAAGAAGTTGAGGTAAGTAGTTTCTCCTTACTCGTTCTCTCTCTTCACCATATTTATGGTTGACTGGTTCTTTTTTGGGTGGTGTGATCAGAAACGATCATTGGCTCATGCAGTTCTGGCGGCTACTAATGTCCTCGAAAGCGGGCGGGAGACTACGCAAGACGAGCTTGACCATTCCGACCCGGTGGCCAAGCGAAGACTCATCATGACGGACTTGGTGGCACATCATAAGAAGCTGGGTCATGCCTGCAAGGAAGGATATCGACTAATTCATAAAACTCGACCATCTAGACTTATGCTCTTGACTTTCGAGCATATGCTCAAGTGGGCCAAAGCGATAGTAAGTGTTTTTCTGTATGTTGTGGTATTTGATTCAAATCTCTAATACTCATTGATTTTGGTCTAGGCTCAAGGGGTCGAAGGTGTCACTCTGGACAACCCACCTGACCAAGCAGGTTTTGTTTGGGAGACTGTGAAACGTGATCTGCTCACTACGACGCCGGTGATGTCCACCAAACGATTGAAAACTGGCAACAAAGGCTTGGAAAACGTTAATCATTCATCTCGTTCAGTCTGGGGATACGCGGAAATGCAGGATATGGAAATCAAGGTCGATGTCCATGTGGCCAGAAGATTGGCGATGAAATCTACTATCCACGATTTCATCGCCTTTGCGCCGGTCCCCAAACACGAGGTTGATGACGTCACCGTGGCGTTCGAAGATCATAGCATTTACACATTTTATCCCTTCTTATTTCCGAGATCTTTCGATGCGCGTGATATGGAACGCTGGGGGATTTCATTGGGGACTGGCCTGGCCTTGATGGATAGTGCGCGCCGGTTTTATCAGCACCTCGTTGACATCGGGGAGGAAAAAAGTCGACTCAATGGGATTGTCATACCAGATTCTGATTCTGATGCCGAGATTAAAGTCATGTCTTCTAAATCCAAACCGTCTGCCAAATCTAAAGCAACTTCGAAAGCGAAAACAGGCAAGTAACTTTCCGGTTGTTGATCCCACTCAAAAACGATTCAATACGTGGATTTTATTGTATGCTGGATCCTATCACGTTTTTGTTTCAAAAAAATCGTATTGTCTCAACATTTCTTCCCACTCAAAAAAGAAAGCAGTATGTTGCTAAATCATCCTGTTTGTTTTAGTGTTATCTCTTTTTTGTTTAACCAAAATCATACTGTCCCCCCCCAAAAAAACATCACCGTCATGTTTGGATTTGTCCTGCTACCTAAGTATGTTAATGGTCTTGTGTGTGTTGATCTGAAAATAACACTTAAATGTGTTTGTGTTTGCTTAAACCAAAGAAACACAGAACATTAATTTGTTCGCGTGAGATGCTTTGTGATTGTCAAGATCATAAGCTTGACAATCACAAAGGAATTTTTTTCGAAGAAAGTTCATAAGATTCCTTCGAAAGCATCCTGGTGTCGCCGTCGCTTGGAAGACCTTCGATTTTGATGACTCGAAGGATTCTTTCACTTTAGATCATCTATGATGATTTTAGTCAAATTTTTTATACGATCGGATGTTGAGTGAACTGATTGGTTCAAAGACATCCAATCATAATTGGGACCTCATTGCGCGCGATAGGGTAGCACGCAGATACCGCTCCAGAGGCAATTTGGGTCGCAATCATGTAGAGTCAACATAACATCTTGTATCCATACTAATTGCAATTTCAGCAGACTTATTCACTAGATAGAGACATTTAGAGATCGCCCACAAAGAGACATAGATAGGGAGTAATAATATTTTATTGTTTGGGCAAACACAAAAATCAAGGCAGAAAACAAGTGTTGATCTTCAACACAACACATAGCAATAGAAGCCAGCTCAACTCGATCCTTTGGCATTGAAAAGGGAAAATGAAACTCGCCCTAGTCTTCATATTGAGCATTGTACCGGACCCAATAGTGACGGGTGGTATAGCCGCTGTGCGATATGAGAGGTTGCATTAAGCGACGGGTCATTACTCTAGCGGCCAGTAAGAGGAGATACTCGGCCTTGTCGTCCTCATATAACCAACGGTCCTCTCTTTTCAATCGCGATTTGGTGCAGTGGAAGGCGTTCTCGATCGGGTTCATATCAGGTGAATAGGCTGGCAAGTATAATACTAGGATTCCGGCTTGTTGACATAGTTCAAGGATGCGTCCGCCGTGATGAACTCGGGCGTTGTCCATGACCAGCACCGAGTTGGGACCAGGATATCGGTTCATAACGGGAAGCTGAAACAGGAAAGTATGACAGTGATATCAGCTCAAAGACCCAATAAAATGGCGAGCTATTTCTCGACTTACCAAGTCATTCTTGAGAAATAGCTTGACGTCAATCCTACAAACCGGCCCTTCTATAACAGTCCCAGCGATCATCCCCTCTTCGCTAACAGCAGGGATCAGGGTCCAATGAGACCGTTCGGTATAGCGAGCCTGGCGAATCGTTTGAGTGCCACGCTGGGCCCAGCTCTTCATGCAAGAAGCGTCACGGCCCACAACACCACTTTCATCTGCAAGTATTTTGTGTCAGTGACAAAACTGGAAGCAGAAATAGAGAAGATTAAACCGACGGACCAATGAACACCAGAAACTCAGGTGGAATTCCAGCCACTCTCATCATAAAGTCAATACGCTCGGCAGGAGATTGATTGGGATGAACCCCCCGAGTCACCAAAAGAGAGAGCCCTAGACGTTGACGAAGTTCGCGAGAGATGGTTGCACGAGACAAAGTGAGGCCGGTCAAGTCAGATAGTTCCTTCTGCAACTCGTTGAGATAAATTGAAGGACGTTCCACGACTAGATCGTGAAGGGTTGCCAGATTCTCGTCCGAAAGCAGAAAAGGGCGGCCGCGAGTCTCATAGGTGGCTGGATCTTTGACCACACTATGGGTGTCCCGGAATAGGCGTTTCCATCGGTAGAGTGAGACAGTTGAGATGTTCGTTTGTAAGCGATAGTTGATATCAGCAAGGGGAACGTTATCGATGGCCAACCGAGTCGCCAAGAGCTTCATGTCCTCGGAATAGCGTTGAAAACCCATGTTGGAGGGTTGAATGGTAATGGAAAGAGGTCAAGCCACTCAGAAACGGATAGGGGACCAGGGAAATGGAAAAGGTGTCATCTGTAGGGAGGTTTGGGGGATGATAGAGTTCACCCCAACTCGAAAATAAAGCCAAAAAAAGACCCCAAAAAAAAAGACGTAAAAAAAGATAAACAACCTACATGCGGATCTGCCTCTAAGTTGGTCGCGTGACCAACTTAGTTGACAGCCCGGGCACTCAAGTTCTGGCCGATGCTGGCCCTCGCACGGACCATGCCTCGATTTTGAAAACTTCAGGATATGATTTTCGCCGGTTTTCAAAAAAAATCTCGGATTCCTACCAGCAGAAAAAGGACCATTGTTTTTTGGGAAAAAAAAATCAAAATTCCTTCCATTTGAATAAGGACCCTCAAAATCGTGTTTTTGGCTGTTTCAGAGGAATTAAACATCACAATTTTTGTTGAAAAACTTGTAACTTTTTCTAGAATTTGGTGGAAAAAAATTGGAAGAGCTAAAGTGGGAACATCAAATCAAAACTCTACACATAGTGGATATCAGAGAATTTGATCACAAGTAGGAAAAAAATATTTTTCTTTCTTGAATTTGGTAGAGATGAAGATGAAAAAGTTGAAGCAAGAACATCCAATTGAATCTCTAGACAAGGCGGAGAGGATTTGATCACAAACAGTACAAAAAATTTACAGAATAAAATTGGAGGGTAGCTTGTTTTTTTGAGCTTGAGCATGTTCAACAGCAAGTTGATCAAGAACTGCCTGAATTTACCGTTCTTGGCTCATAGCTTTCACCATAGCACAACAAGCTTGAGGAATCCATATGGTGTTAGCCTTGAGTTCACTACTATCCATTGATGTGGTAGGGGGAAACACATAGTGAATTTCTGCAGTGCTATATCAAGATGAGAAAATATGAGGCAATTTGGACAGTTTTCTTCAAAACCACAATATGTTGGTACAATTGCATTTGGATGATTTGCTAGATCGTTGGTCAAGTTGATCTCAATCTGTTTTGAGTCATCTAAAGGGCCTTTTTTGATCACATCTATCAATGGAGGCTTTGTTGTACTGTAGAAAAAGGTGTCCTATCTCAGCTTTGAACTTGATATCACCAGGCTTGGTATTCATAAGCAACAATGGACCTGGGTGCCACCATATCACTGCTTGGGCCCTTAGTAATAAGGGGGCTCAAGTCAAAATATTTGCGACCTTTTCTTAAAAAATTGGGGAAAGTTTCTTATGGTACCGTGCTGTAAAAACGTTTCCCAATTTGTAAAAAAGGACGGTAAAATTTTTGTTTTGGATCTCCTTCTCAGCAATAAATTTACACAAATTTGTGTAAAACAAAATTGGGAAAAGTTTTTTGCGATAAAAGTAGTAAAATTTTTTGACCTGAACCCCCCTAATGTGCAGTTGGATGCTGATGGTGGTTATGGCCTGCAGAGGCTGGATTCCTACCTCAGGTGTAAGCAACATAATTTTTTTCCCTTGACTTTTTGACATATTCCTACCTCTTCAATAAGGCACATTTACTAGATTTTTTTGAAATTTTCTCAAATTCCTACCCAGAAGATTAGGACGCTTTTTGCCCAAAAAGGCCAATTCCTACATACCCAATAAGCCGGGTATATAGGGGCTCTCCAGGGTCCTGCCCGGGCACTCAAGTTCTGGCCGATGCTGGCCCTCGCACGGACCATGCCTCGATTTTGAAAACTTCAGGATTTCATCCTTTATGGAATTTACTGTACTAAAAAATGACTTGTGTCCAAAAAGAAAGCTTTCTTTAGACCACAAATACCTCAAAACTCTAATTAGTTGTCAATCAAAACTCGCATTTCCCTTAAGTAGCTCTTTTGAACATCCCCAAAAACCTATGCTTCATTCTAACTTTGTGATCAGAAAACCTAGGAGGTTATATTGGAACTCATCATGGATTCCTACCTAATTGGATCTTTAGAGCCCAAAAACCATGAATGATTATATTTAAATCTAGCAGACCTTTATAAATTCAACATTATTGAAAAATATTTTGCAGTGTGCACCTTGTTTAATCAAACACAAGATCAAACCACTCTCTATGAATCTATCCTATCTCAAGACTAGTCTAATACCTCACACAAGTACTCTTGACCCTCTCAAATCCAGTTTCTTGAAACCATTTCTATCCAATGACTCTTCTAGTTGATCCACTTTGGTTCAAGCCTAATAAAAACAAAAAAATCTTTTTTTTACTTGAAAAGAATCATTTTGTTTTCTGTCTTGATTTTTTTTTGATGACATATATACATTGTATGACGTATATATATATCAAAAGAAAAAAAACTTTCAAAACAATATATAAAAACATCAAAAAAGAAAAAAAATCAAAAGGTTTATGATTACAAACAAAATAAATAAATCACACACATCACACATGAAATGAAAAAAAAACCAAAGCCACCCCAAAAAAGAATAAGTAGAAACAAAGAAGTGTACTTGATCTCATCAAACAAAAAAAAGATAGGGAAATGTGATGTATTGAGACAAAATGGAAAAAAAAAGAAAAAAAAAGATGATCAATATACAAGTTTAAAAATTTTCTCTTTACACCAACCAAAACTACCCAACCAACGAACAAACGTCAAAAAGACCACATCAATCTTCAAAAGTACTTCTCACGACATTCTGATTTGAATTCGCAAGATCATATCCGATCATGTTCACTTCCGATTTATTTCTAGAATGATGAAACGGTAATCTAGATCTAGAAGTGGACAAACACCTTAACCTATTCATCCCACTACTACTAACACCACCCTTCTCCTCTTTCCTAGAAGAGTTTGAAAACATATCTTTAAAAAGCGATCGATCGATGATTTTCTTATGATGATGATGATGATGATGATGATGATGATGATGATGATGGTTTGAAGCAGAAGGTAAACCAGCAAACTTAAACCGATCAGGTGATGGTGGTGGTGAAGGAATGTTTGATAAGTTTAAAGGTGATGGCACAATCGGTTTAGAAATCGAAAACTCTAATGTAGGTTGAGATCTTTGTCTTCTCAAGGTTCTAGTGATCGGTACGAGTTTCATGGAAGGTAATGGTGGTAGTGGTAATGAAGGTAATGGTGGTGGTGGTGGTGGACATGGTCGGATTGGAGGTTTTGGAAACTCCAAAAGAGTTGAATGGGTTCTGAAATCTAAACTAGGTCGAGGTTTAAGTGCTGGATGATCTTTTGGAATTTCTGGTAATGAGCTTGTAGGTGGTGAATATCTTTGTCTTGGTACAGATGCACTTGCACTTCTTTTTCTTCGTGTGATGACTTTCTCCGGTATAGGTGGGTTGTTAGTACTAGGTACTGATGCTTGAGAAATCACACTAGAGACTCTAGAGTGTTGGATTTTACCATGGATACCAGGTGGTGCTGATTGTGCTTTGAGTACTCGACTTTCATTAGCTTCTTTAGATCTTGATGAACTAATCGGTTCAAAAGCTGGATGATAGGCTTCAATATTCGATGTAGCGTTGGTGATACTGCTTGTATAACTACAGGCTCGTTGACTATCAGCAATCGAACCACTTGAAGAAGTAGATGGATGAGGTGCATGTCGAAACCGTTGAGATCCTCTGCGACTGTGCCTAGGTTTATGAGTTGGATGTGACGATAAGTTGAGATTGGGAGTGAACGATATGGGAATTTCACCCGATACAAGAAGTGGACTTTGACTTGGTTTAGCTTGACGTCTAGTATGTTGAGATCCTAACGGTATAAGTGGCTTAGTAGACGGTAAAGACGATGCAACCCAGCTGTCATCAATCAATTCCCGTGCTTCATTCATTTCATCTGTTTGATGAAGATGAAGTGCATCTAGAGACGCATTGAGAGGTTCGATGGATGAAGTTTTGACCGAACTTGCAAGTGAATGCATCATAGTGTCATTAGGAGTAGCCACTTCGAGTTCACTACCAGTACTTTCGCCTGACAAATAACGTGGTCGAGTTAAAGAGCTTGATGGATTAGAAAGGTTCATACTCAATTGGCTTGATGTTGAAAGTGTAGCCGAAAGTCGAGCATCTTGAGATTGATGAAATCCTTCTAGATCATGAGAATCCTCAAGAGAGTCGGTATCATTGCCAAAGATGGCACTAAGACTGATTTCACTACTCGCAGTACTATCACGCCTTGACTCGTTTGATTGAAGATTTGATGGAAGTTTGTGTAAAGCAGTACGTGCCGTGTCGACAGGATTGTTCAATGGATCTGGATGAATTGGCGGTATACCAGTAGATATTTGGCTGATGAGTTCTCGAGGGGCTGGGACTGAGGGACGTCTGGGTTTAGGCGTTGCCATACTTTCTCGTAATTCGGATGCGATGCCCCTAGGAGTGTTAACTTGTAGTATAGGACCTGTGAGTGCAATAAAATGATGAGTATACTGAAGAATGTGATAATCAACACAGAGGTGAACGTACTTAGGTTGATGTTCCGTTTTGATGAAGAAGGTTGTAATTCGTTTGAAAGAGTAGAATAAGTTGAATGAGGTTTGGCTTTAAAGGAAGGAAAGCTAGTAGTAGACATCGAATCGAATTGTTGAGGAATAGGAGATGAAGATTGACTACTTGGATTCACATCTAAAGGAAATTCAATCTTTTCACCTAATTCTTGTTCTAATTCTTCCCATAATTGACGTGAAACTAAATCTTTATGTGAATCAGATGATGATTCAGATGAATTTACATTTCCACTTTCATAGGGGTCGTTTTGATTTAGTGAAACTTCTGAAAATGAATGGTGATGATGATGATGATGACGAGTTGGTGGATAGGGTCTTTCCGAATCCATCGAAGTAGAGTTAGAATTTGGAAGTGTCGAAAGTGAGCGAATCCTAGGTGTTTTTAAACGTTGATAATGGCTTGGATCAGGCTGCGGCGATGGCAAGTGATGTATTTGACTATTGGGCGCAGTGTCAATCTTAGTGATACATGAAACTGAGGCTGTGTCGGATGGATGCGGATGATGACGATGGAACCGCAGTGGTGCTAATGATGATTGAGCGAGAGTCTGAAGGGAAAATGTAAGAGAAAGTACATAATAATCAATTAAAGACTGAATGATTCTTTTTGGAAAAGGGTGAGATGATTCAGATTCGCAAAAATCAAATGGCGGAAATGCGAGAATCGCCACAGGCTAATTGCTTGCTGAAACGTATTTGATATTTTACGGGGTGGGAATTGAGCTAGAGCTGAAAGGTATAAAAAAGGGAAAAAAATAATTGGGTAGAGCCAGGGGAAGATGACATACCGTTGAAGTAGTTGAATGGTCTGGGAGGGTGATGATAGGGGTACTCAAGCTAAGATTTCGAAAATGCGATCTAATTGAGCGAGAAGGACGGTTGAGGGGTTGCAAGGTGAGCCTCTTCAAATGAGACAAGGATAAATGTCGGTAAGTTGGGTTTGTTGGTGGTGGTGGTTGTAGTTGTGGTTGTAGTTGTGGTTGTCGTTGGGATTGAGGATTTAATTTTGTAGTAGACGTTGGGACTTCTTGCAAGATAGAAGTTGAAAGTCTTGAAGGAAGATGATGATGATTTTGACTAAATTTTGAATAATGAGATGAAGCTGTTACAATCGGAAATTTAAATTCAGGTTTCGCCATCTTCTCCTCATCTTGGACTATGAGATCATATCTCGGATTGAATGATTGACCGCCGACGTTTTGCGGCATGTTCTGAGCCGTGTACTGATCCTTAGACCGAAACTGAAAGTAAGAAAGCGGTTATACTTTAGATGGCAAGTGAGTATGAGGAGCTGTATAGCCTAGCTGATCGAGTCTGAAGCTGAATTTTAGAAAGTTTCAGGTATGTTTGAAGTGTGATGCGATGATAGCACAAGACGATTTCGTGAAAGAATCGGAATGACGAGCTGAGCGGAATGAAACACGTCTGATGAGTTAGCTTGGCGGGAACTGGACTAGATATATAGATATGGGCTATGTTGAGAAGGCTATGTTGGTGGCTAGAAAGTCCTAGTGAAGGGTCTAAGATAAAATCAAGTGATTCTCCTCGTCATGTTGAAGAAAAAAAGAAATGGGAATGATTGAAGGGAGAGTAAAGTTGATAGGAGGGGTGTGATGAGGGTTCAGTTACAAATTACGTAGGATATTGATGGATGGATAATTTCAAGATGTGCGAATACGTGATGGGGAAGTTTGACAGGTGTTCTGAGATGCTTGATGATAAAGATTGTTCTCAATGAGCTTTGATTCTTGATCTTGTATTTCTAGATTATTAAGATAATTAATAATTTATCACACTTGGAATAATTTGGTTAAATAAATGAAGGCCAAGGTGCGCAGAACTCGACGCTTAGGTAAACTCAGGGTCTGTTCGCGGGCGCATCGAGGATAGAACGGATTTGGGTGATTGATTGATTTTGTAGTCTAGAATTCTTAGATTGAACTTTTTATGTTTGTTGATTGATGATTGATGTGCTAAAATTATAGTGATTTTGATGGGTGAATGATGGTGAATGATGGGTGTACTGTGGTGTGATCGATTAGTTCAATGGTGGATGCTTTGATGGTTACCGACATTTATCGAGGAGATAGTCTTGGATGTTAATCTGATTTGGATTAGCCACTGGCACCAATCAAATCTTCATCCAAATCTCGATTATCAACACCTATCTACATACAAACGCGGTCTTTCGTTTCTGTTTTGTGGAGTTTCCTTCCCGCGAGGTCAGGGTGGAGGTGAACGGTCGCCTTTAGAGTGACTTTGACCATGCAAAATGTTCCGAGGGTATCCAGGCGTAGGCGGCGTATGTAGGCGGCGTCCCCTAGGTAGCCTCAACAAATGTCTTGCAAAGTGTTCAAGAGGCTTTCAAATTATTTCACTTTCTTTCATTCTTGAGTCTTCTTCAAATCATCAACCCTGGCATCTCCCTTGATGAACTTTGTCCTCTCAATAATCCACCAAGCACCTCGAGACCTACCAATTTCGAGACTGCTCAGGACTGCTCAGGACGGATCCCATTGAAAATGCGATGATCATTTGTTGGAGGTGATCGATATTACCACATGATTTTCAACAAGATGATGTGTTATCACATGTTGTATGCGTATATACCAAAATCATCTCTAAATCTCATCTTCCCTCATCACAAATGATATGTATCTACAAATTACACCAATCAACTCATAACAAATTGCTTCATCTCTAAACATTTTCTAATAAATGAAATCATTTCAATTTAACAACTTTGATTTCCATTCATCCAAGACTATAAATTCTCATATTTCTAATCAACTTTCAAAGTGATACATGTAAGTATTTTGATTTTCAAATCTTGGTTTTATAGCTGAAAAATTTATGAATCAAAATGTTTCCTGAAGTCACGTCCCTTACTTTTTTTTTGCTCTTTTCATATTTGAAGTCATTTTTAGCGTTGTCTATAGATCAAGGAATCTTTAGGGAACTAAGAAACGATGCTATCATAAGTTTGAACCTTGTGATTTCAGAATCCATGACGTAGTATATGTTAGGTGGTAATAGTATTGATACGGTTTTATCCGAGGAGTTAATCCAGGGATACGGGATGGTCCGATTTCCGAGTGGATCCATAAGCACAGGCTTGCATCGATCATCGCACCTCGGGCTATGTTTGTAGAGAGAGAAAATACCCCGTAAGAAAGATGAGAATTCCATCGGTGTGGGTATTCCATTGACCGGAACGATGTGATTTAGCGCTGTATGAGCATCGTGCGCGTGTAGAGCAATCATTGGATAAGGGGCTATGTGGAGCTTTGTCACAATCCTGCTGAGGTAAGCTTAAAGTAAACCTATCATAAAGTGATTGTAGAGATGCGTGATTACACATTTCAAAGTACGATTCACAAGAAAAACCTTGACAATAATTTGAATACAAGAGGAAAACGGTCTGGAACGACTTGAAGGCTTCTGGATAAATCAAATGTTGAAGACCTTGACAAATTTCCAGGGAAACCATCAAACCATCGATTTTTAAACACAAGAGAAGAAAACCAAAATAAAACTGATGAACGAATCAAAAAGATTACCGATCGATATTATACATCAAATCTTTATAAACCGATTAAACAAAGCTTTCGATTAAGATCGATTTCTTAAGCTTGGTCTAAAGCTGTTATTACCATTTTATTTTAAACCGGTTTGAATAAATCATTCAAGATGTACAAAGGGGTTTTTAGATAAATGGAAATGAACAACTTTGGTATTCATAAGAAGACGAAAATAAAGAAGAAGAAGATGCTAGTAAGTTATCAAAAGAAGATGGTAAGTTTTCACTTGACCTTTTGATATGAGTATGATGAAAGATTAACCATGATTGTTTTTGATTTTATTTTTGTTAGCTACAAAAAGAATCAACTCCAGTTTCAATGAACCAGTTACAAACAAAATTGATCGACCTATTCGATAGCAACCTAAAAACTCTAGACCTCACCTTTGTCAGTTAACTTCCATGGGTGTGTCATGTTATGGATGAAATGACCTGTGATGAAATTATGGTCTGTCAAAGATTTCTTATTCTTATTCCACATAAAGAATTCTAAGATTATAAAGGTTTTTTATAAACTCTCACTGATTTATCTGATTGATTCTTAGGAATTGGATTATAAGCTTAATGGTCCCATGAAATAGATCACAAGTTTTTCTTATCAAAACTCTTCAAGAATTGATTGCGCTTCTTTATAATCTTTTTACAATACACACTTGGCAAATTTACAAAATAAATATAATAATAGTTTATCAGGATATCCGCTGGAGATGTTGAGTTTTTCAAGCATAGGTATGGCTACACTCTGATCAAGTGTCAATTAACACTTATTGAACTTTTTTCTATACATGATAAACTTGAAGGTTTAGATGAAGTGTTTGAAGTTTATGGAATTCAATGTCATGTTATGGATGGAATGACCTGTGATGAAATCATGGTGCGTTGAAGATTTCCTATTCTCATTCCACATGAAGAAGTCTAAGATTATAATCAAGTTTTTCATAAACTCTCACTGATTTATCTGATTGATTCTTAGGAATTGGATTATAGGCTTAATGGACCCATGAAATAGATCACAAGTTTCTCTTGTCAAAACTTCTCAAGAATTGATTGCGCTTCTTTATAATCTTTTTACAATACACACTTGACAAATTTACAAAATAAATATAACAATAGTTTTTCAGAATATCCGTTGGAGATGTCGAGTTTTTCAAGCATGGGTATGGTTACACTGATTAAGTTGAGTTGAACAGACATTTGTTGTATGATCAACTGAAAACACCAACTTGTGATGTGAACTTTGTTTAATACATTTTGAGTCTGTCAAATATACAAGATAATTCCAACTACAATTTCTGGAGGTCTTTGTCATTGGGACCATTACAAGAGTTTTAAGTCTGGGGATGGATGGACTCATGCCAAGACTGATTGAACAATTCAACAAATTGAAAACCTCATCAAATGACCTTGTTGTGAAATTCAACTTTGTGCTCTCAATGAGATTTGATGACCACCACTCAAGTACCAGATCTGCATTGGAGTATGATATTTGTGAACAATGAATTCGGATACTTTGAGAAAACCAATGATAAAAAATCAATTCAAACCTCCTGAGTCCTCTTAAAGATGGTAATGGGTCTGACCCTTACAAAGTGACAAGGGAAACAATGATAATGGAAAACCCCAAAACTAATGTGACATCTTTGATGCTTCTAGGCAAGCTTCCCCCTTAGGCCTATGTATCAAGGGGCCAGCTTGAAGCAAAGTTTAATCTCGTACCTGGCTCTCACTCCATATTTTGGTGGAGATCTGTTCCAGGTGTGAGGACTTCTTGAAGTTGAAGTTTTTGATATCTTTCAACTCATTTTCTAAAAAAAAAGTGTACAAAGGGGAGCTCTTCCACAGAATCAATTGGTATGGGTAAGACATCTTAAGCAAACAAAGGAATAGTACAAGAAAAGTTCCAATCTATACTTTTGTTTCCACACAAGCACCCAACTTCAAGCGTCTATCCAGTTCTCCTGAGTAGATTTACTCATTCCATTGGCCCATTAAGCTCGAGGTCTAACTCCTGTGGATCAAGTACAAAAATGGTGATACCAAATCAGATTTTTTCTTTGAATATCAACTTACATATGATGTCAGAGCAGTTAGACGTACCAAAATTTCTTCATAATTCAACTGACGCATAAAATGAGATTGTATACCAAAACGTTCCAAAGCGCCGATCAATGCTTCATCCGGTATACTGTTATCCGGGAGACCTGTGAAAACGATGTGTTTAAAATTAGGTGATTTAATTAGATCATCTTCACCTAGATTTTCCAAAGCCAAATTCCAATAAGGCCTTGCATTGGTATAATCAGTAACCAAAGTTCGAACATTCAAAAAGATTGGCCATAGAAGCCAATCAAGATTGAAATCTTTCAATGGCCAAAAAATGTTTCGCATCACGCTAAGTTTTGGAAATGTGACATTAGATATAACTTCTGGAATGTTTTCAGGAAGTTCATCTATAAAAAGACATTGAAGGGTTTCTTGAGTTTCTTCGATCGCCATTCCTACGTGGTCTTGTCCATTATATGATACATATTCGATCACTTTTAAACTATCTTTTACAGTTTCGATGAAATCATGGAGTGCATTTATATTATAAATAGAGTATAAAAACCATAAATGTTTTAATTTTGATAAAGCTTGAGGTTCTAATACCAAAGTTCCGAGATGTGTAAAGTAAATTGATAACGATTCCAAGTTCGGAGCAGCGTTTAATAACTCAGAAAGCGAAGCCATGTCGGCCATACTTCCTTCTGGCATATCATCAGTCATTTGAATATTCAATTTCTTAAGACATTTGATCTTTTTAATGGCTTTTATCATGTTGGATGAAAAGCCCACTGAGTTAATAAACTTGAAGTTCAACTCAGTCAAGTTTTTCCCAAATGATTCAATCACTTCTGCCGCTTGATACAAGAAGACAGAAGAGGATCTCGGATTCAGGCTTCCGGATTGATTTACTGCTCGTCCGGCTCGAGTCTCTCTATTTGAGTTTCTAAATTGCAATATATTGCAAAATAGGTTTTCAATGGACAGTCGCTTAACAGGAGATGTTGAGTTTACGGTGGAATTTGTCCAGTCTCTGAGTAAAAGGTTGACGCTTCTTGCTGAAGTCAAACGAATTGAATGGAACACAAAAGGGATAACAGCAAAAGCCCAATTCTTAGAAATCAAGCGCAAGTTGAGAAGCTTTCTGGTTTCAGATGGGTGAATGAATGGTTCGGCGGCACTGTTCATCGGATCTGAGGGAGTCATCGCTGGTTGGGCTGCGAATATTTTCACAATCATAGTTACGATTTCGACTGGAAGGTATCCAGGGACAAGTTTGATGTTTGTTTGAGATGATTGATTGGGCATTTTGATTTGTGTGTAGTGAGATGAAGAGTTTTGATTGAAAGGATTGATGAAGAAAATGTCGATGGGAGCGAGCTGAAGTGACATATGTCTGACGATTTTGTACTCGATTCCCTGAGCGAGTCTCATCCCGCTGCTCCATCAGCGTCTCGATTCTTGCATTGTTTGGATCTTGACTTGCCATGCTTTCTCCCAAAGCTTTTGTTGTTCTCTTTTGAGGATTTGACCAGTGTGGCTCACTCTCTCCAAAAGCACAATAAAAATTTTGACAGGCATGTGTGATTCTTACAGGTTTCAAGTGCTTTAGAAATTGTAAGTGAAGTTACTTGAGGATTCATTTCGGTGAGAAATGGATCCGCTTATAAGTGTTTTCGAAAAACACTACAATCCGTAAAAGGAAATACAACGTATGGTATTTACAACGTGAGGATTCAGCTTTGAGAATCCGAGTTTGGAAAAGATATGAGTCGAGGGATTTAAACATCAATCCCTAATTAGGAAACAAGGTTTTATTACTTTTGCTAAAATGCTTGGCCCAATCGAGAAAAAATAAAAATAAAATTCACCACAGCAGTCACAACGCAGCAGAGAGAAAAAAGTTTTAAAGGGTGCTGTCTCTTCAGCTGTGGTGCGAGTCGTCACCTCCCTCCCATTCCGCTGCTCTATCACCCACCTCTATATAGTCTCTAGTTCACCATCACCTTGCCACCTCTTTCTTTGCACACTCTTGCAAGATGGGCTTGTGAAACTATTGAAACTATTGGTAAGTCACTCTACGTGTTACGTTATAAATGCCTCTTATTCATTTCCTCTTGGTGTGCTTTCTAACAACCTTTTCATATGGTTTGATTCAGATGACCATCCTCACATCAACACAGTCCAATATCGGTGATCGGCTTGCCTGGCTTTTCCTCACCATCACCTCATCAGCTCTTCTTTCCCACGCTCTTGCAGCTCAACCAGGAAAGCAGTCATCTGATATGTGAAACTTCTCTCTACACTGTTCCTCATATATTGATAACGAGTATTTGTTAAGAATTGAAAAAAGAAACGATATTGAAGCTTTTATGGAGCTCATAACTGCTATGCTAATCTGAGAAAAAGGGCAAGTTGAATAAGATGTATCTTACATATCTTCAACTGGTCCAGTGCCGAGCTCTTCTGAATAACAAAAGTATGAGATTGAATATCTTATGAAAGATATTCAAAATGTGAGTGAGTTTTCAAGGTAAGTGAGATTTTCAGAATAATCGATTGGTTATGAACAATCTCAAAACCAATCAGTTTCCGGTTGATCCTGCTATGAGATCATCCTATGATTGCAAGTTTAACACAATCTCAGATCTCTTATGAGGGCAATAAAAGTTAAACTAAGAACTTATCGGGTTTGAACAAGTCATCCAAACCCATTCAATTTGTCTTTGGTCCTATGAACGAGATGAAAAATGATATCAGTTTTCTCAAAGACATTCAAAATCCAAAGATCAACTGGTTTTGCTCGGTCAAAACCAATTGATCTTCCTTTGTTCCTATGGAAGAGATTGGAAACAATCTCGGCTCTCTGATGTAATCTAGAGACTGATTTTTTTAACAAGATCAAAATCAATTGATTTGCTTGTGATTCTATGAAGAAGATTGAAACGATCTCGATTTTCACATCAATCTTATCTAGAATTTCTTGATTCTGGTTCCTGTACAATGACATCTGCTCTAACTACAATTCATCTACTATGAACAATCTAGCTTTGTAATTCAGATGTAAAGGTCTTATGAGCTGCCTTCTGGATCGGTTCAACTGGATTTGACCTAGATGATGAAACTTGTGATCTCCGGACATCAAACTTCAACGCATACTTCAAACTCGATCGGGTTCAACTCGGGACAGTGTGGTGGTAGGTATTGGAGGAGGATACCTAAAGATGATATTAGGGATTATCAGTAAGATGAACGAGATGCATTGAAGAGAGAAATGGGAGGAAATGAAGCAATCAAGTGTATCTTTTTGCTTACAGATATCAGCAATCAATTATCCACAATGGATAGATGCGTTAGTTGAGTTGAGTGAGCAAAATGAAGTCATCGACAGGGATTTGAAGGATATGAAAAATTATTGGTGGCAGCGGGGTAATCAAAAGGATGGAACAGATGGGAGCTTGAGCGCACCCTACTTTTTTCTCTCTGCTGCGTTGTGACTGCTGCGGTGAATTTTGTTTTTATTTTTTCTCGATTGGGCCAAGCATTTTAGCAAAAGTAATATAATTGTTTACAAAGATGAGAAAGGAAAGAACGCGTATAGGAAAGTCTTTATGGCTTTTCTAAAAGCGTTTTAACAAAAGTAAAAGATAAATGAGAAAGGAAACAAAAGGAACGAAGTTCCGGAATTACACTATCCCCCACTTAAGAGTCAAACATCCTCGTTTGTACCGAAGGCCCCTTCTGCCATGCTAATTTCTTCTTTTACTTCTGACAGCGTGAACTCTAGTTCATGCCTTAGGTCAGCCCGAGCCCCGATCGCTACCCGTCGAGTAGTGGCTCGCCCGGCCCCCGAACCGACGGGTAGAGAGACCTCCCAAGCCCGTTTGGGGGTCCCCGAACGAGTTTTTTTTGAAAAATTGTCTGCCCGAACCCTGACCGGGTTCCCCGCCGGGGACTCGTTGGCTGGACCAAAAAGGGTCCCTCACCCAGGTTTGAACACCGGACCGGGTCATTTATCGATATTCATGCCAAATAGGTCGAAAAAAAGTGTCCACTTGATGTTTAAATTGCACTCAGGGCCTCACATCACAGCCATGGCAGTGCTGGCAAGGTTCCCATGTGCTTGGTAGGGCCTCCCCTGACAATGGACTAGGTAGTTTTTACCTGTGATGGAGTGTTTTAAATACTTTTTTTACTCGTCGGGTACCCGGCGGATAGTATTTTTTTCGATTTCTACGCCCAACACCCGACTCGCGGGGATCCCCGATCATCGGGGGTTCTAGAACCTCCGCCCGAATCCCGGACCAATCGGGGGGCTGGTCCGGGGCTCAGGCTGAGCCTTAGGGAATATAGGATGTCAATTTCCTCGTTTTCAATTGTTAGTCTTGATAGAAAACGCAGTTGTTCAATTAATCTTCCGACCGTATTTGGCTGCGTTAGGACTAGCGTCTCGTATGATGAAAGGTCCGTCCCACCGCGGATGTAGCTTCGAAGGGCGTCCTTCAAATTTTCGCCATACCAAGTCTCTGGTTTTAAGATGGCGCTCGACAAATTGTTCTTCTGACCCTCGCAGTCTTTCCCTTGATCTCTCATTGATTTCATCAATGCGATCTTGTCTTCTTTTGGAGAATCTTTCGAGATCTGCTCGACGCAAGTCTTGGGTTAGTTGTATATCTTTCTTGCTAACCAGGACTGGGCTGTCTCCTAAAGCAAAAATGGGAGGGAAGCTTGCCTCAATGCCGTAAGTCATTTCGAAAGGTGAAGCTTTCAACGAGTTTGAATGAGAAGCACGGTAAGCAAAAAGGGCTTTGTTGAGATATTGGTCCCATAGTGTTTGGTTATAAGGTGCGCAGAATTTCTTAATAGCTCCAATGAGTGTACCATGAAACCGTTCTATGAGTCCATTGCCTTGGGGATGGTAAGGAGTCGTGTGTATATGTTTAATTTTGCTTTGTCTCAAGTAATGTTGAACGAGATGCGAATGAAACTCACTTCCGTTGTCCGTGGTGATTTCATCGGGGTGTCCATGTGCTAAGCAAAGCTGTTTGACTAATTCCACGACAGCTTCAGCCGAAGTTTTCTTGAGAGGGACCACGTAGGCCCAACCTGTACCATAATCCATGGCTGTTAAGATGAATTCATTACCGTTTTTTGTTTTGGGTAGAGGTCCAACGAAATCCATTCCCCACTTGCGGAAGGGTTTACCTCGTTCAATAACTTGGATAGGTAAATTTTCTTTGTCAGAATGCGGCGTGTGGATCTGGCATTCTTTACAATCTTTAATCGTGTCTTCGATGAATTTGTTCATATTCGGGAACCAATAGTTGTTTTTCATGTTTATTATAACGTCTTTGTAATTTCGGTGACCAAGGTTTATGTGTGTCGCAATGCATACCAGTTCCGCTTCTTCCTTCGTCATGAGAACTGCCTTGGGTCGTTGGTCCGGTTGGTCAGGCTCGCGCCTAACCATTTGTCGCCTTATGATGTCAAAGTTTCCTGAACCAACATTTAAGGGATTTCGTCCGTGGTCTAATAAATCATAGTATTCTTGTAGTTTGGCGAAATCGACTTCAGGGCTGTTATCATTGTTGATGATGTATAACGGCTCCGCTATCTCTGGAGGGTTAACATCTGAGGGTGCGTCAGGTCTTCTGGACATTGCATCTGCAGCAAGCTGGTGCTTACCTGGTCTGTATACGATGTGTACATTGTATGACTCGATATCGTCTAAGAACCGTGCTAATCTAGGGTTGGTGTATTGTTGTGTTTGAAAGTGTTTGAGGCTTTCATGGTCTGTTCTAACAAGGATTGGAGAGCCGGCGATCAAGCCTCGGAAGTGTTTTAAGGAGTGAACAATCGCAAGCAGTTCCCTCTCTTGTGTTGAGTACCGTTGTTCAGTCTTCAAAAGCTTCCTTGATTCAAAAGCAACTGGTCTTAGATTCCTGTTCTTTACGTCCTTACTGTAATTTTCTAAGGAAAACACATCTTTATCGAATTTATCTTCTGTATCTTGTTGTAGAATCGCTCCAATACAAGTCTTTGATGCGTCCGTGTCTAAAACAAAGGGGTAGAAAGGAATAGGGTGTGGCAGGGTGACTGTCTCAGTCAACACTGTCTTCAGAGCCGTGAAGGCTTCCTGCTGTTCGCTGGACCAATTAATGGCAGTGCCTGGTTTTAGGGATCCTTCCGTTAACTTGTAGATTGGGGAGGCGATCTTCGCAAAGTCTTTTATGAATCGTTTGTAGTATGTGCAGAGGTTCAAGAAACCTCGCACATGCGTGACTGTTTCTGGCACAGGCCAGTCCAGG